AATCTCGCAAAGGAACAACGAGAAATTCGTGACGCCAAAGAAAGTCAGGATGGATGGGATACCCCAGAAATATTCCAGCCCTGGAAGTAGGTTCAAACTTCAAAGGCTTGTTGGGTCGATTCCTCGGGCCAGTCCAAAAGTTGACTTGACAACCAAAGGGCAAATATGGTCCGGGAAAATCTTCTCCAAAACGTACCTTCCATGGTGAATAATAATCTGGGTGGTCCGTGATGTTATGCGCCATGCAATAGTGTTTGGCCGCATGTGGCCAATACGAATGATGTAAACCAGCTTGCTCAAGGTTGGTCCTCGTGCCCTCGATAATCGCCCTGACGTTCCTCTCGGCAATGGCATTCGTCTTGGAAATGTAGTTTGTACTTTGAACATGCTTCCATTCCAATTGGTCCGCGGCTTTCACAAGTTCAGGAGCCCGATCACTGTAAAACACGTTCACGGTTTCCCCGGTGCGGACAAAGTGCTTGAATGCCATCACACACTGATGAGAGGTTTTCCGTGCTGCTGGGTAAACATAACGGAAATCAGTGGCAACATCTCGAACCACAAGTGCAACTCTAGATTGATCAATGCCGATTTCACGATCATCTGATGTGATAAGATGGTCCGCCGTAAGGTGATCACCAAACTTCTTGGCCTCGACTTGAGTGGAACCTCCCTTTTGTTTTGATGGATATTTGTACATCTTCGCCCTGTTACAAGTCTCGCAAAAGGGGTTCTTGGGAGTGTGACACATCAAGTGCTGGAGTGAGGTCGCCTCATCACGCAAAGCTGCTTCACCGCGTTCGCGAGGGGCGTCCTTCAAAATAGGCTTAGACACAAAATCGGAAGCGATGACCTTAGGCGCATCTTCGGAGGGAATGTCATGGCACTCTTCAATGACCTCACCTTCCGGTTGGCTAATGGTGTCCTCAAGCAAGAAATCATCGTTCCCCAATTCACCCCCATCATCCTCATTGGTCACAAGCACCTCTTCAACAGCTTCCGGTTCCTCGTCAATGACTAGAACTTCATCCTCAATTTCAATGGGAGCTGATGGTGATGTAACCTTTGGAATGCTCTGTGACAAAGCTGGAACAGCATTTTGAGTTGCTGGGGGAATGAATGGAACATTGTCTTTAACCTCGAGCTTGATACGTGAACCATCCGGAAGTCGGAAATAAGGTCTGCTGTGGGCTCTCCAAGCGAAATCATATCCGTCCCTGAGGCATCTCATACCCACGGATAACACGGATGGAGCCTTGTCAAGAACATATGGCCGAACAACACTATCGGTCTGTTGGATCTTGACCCTGGCCTGCTTGGTACCTAATATTCCCATTGGCTGTGGAAAATTTCAGAGGTTGAGACGATTCGTAAATACACCCCACCTCCGCATCGGTTCCCGACAGCAAATCCTGGGAAGCTCTGTATCCGCGATCCACGGAATGTGAGAAGAATCCATTGTCATACGAGCAACAGCAGCTTTCCCCTTTTTGGGGGAGGTCTCGGGCTTCTCTGGCTCGGCCGTTAGGCCTGCGGGGATGCAGGAATCACAGCCGAAACCAGAGTCGCATTGAAATTTGCAAGGAGTCTTCGTGCCTTTGAGCAAATCCTTCATCATAGCTTCATGCATGGTGCCGATAAGAGTTGCGTCAGAAACAGCTCTCTCATTGAACTTCGGAACATAATCAACAGGAAACTCGTGTGCAAACCTTCTCGACGAGGCAGTGTAGGGCCAAAGCTCGCCGTCAGTCTCATAGTTCGAAATAGATGGGTAATCAGAGAATTGCACGCACTTCTTGATACATGGCATACTCTGGAAAACATCGTGAGTCACACTAGGCAAGCAAGGATGCGAGGCGACCGAGTCGAGGGTCGCGGCGCACACCATCGCCTGGAGGAGGCACACCGCAGCATTGCTGCCTTTTGACGATCGCGGAGACTTGAGGGACTGAGAACCTTTTGAATCTTTCGAATCCTGAGAAGAAGGCCTGCTACCCTTCTTCTTCTTCTTTTTCTCTCTCGGCGATGTCTTGGGGGTGTCTCCACTAGTGGTCTTCTCGGCCTTTGGGGATGGAGCTGCCTTGGAAGTTGCGGGGTGCTGCCATGGGCAATCTTTCCCTCTCTCACATCTGTTCGCTTTGAAGAACTTGCACACCTGGGGCTTCGAACCACGGGGCCTGTGCGAACGATACTTCCTTGGCGTCTGGGATCTTGATCCGCCCTTCTTGCCTTTCCCCTTACCTTTCGGTGCCTTAACATGTTCGAATCGGCAGTCTGAACCATAGGTGCACTGGCCAGTTTGAAATTTCACACATACACCCTTGGGGATTCCAGGAACTGCAGGGTTGTTCGATGGAGTCCTGCCACGTCCCGTTGTGTTGCTTGACATAGCATCCCGCATGTGAACAAGCCTCTTGCGCTCCAAATAATTCCTCGATGCGTCAATCAAGAATTTATAGGAGTGCTTTTCCGTCCCTTCCTCAGCCCGCTCATACTCATTGAGATCATGACTGAGAGGCCGAAACTTTCGAATCTGGCGGTGGAACAGCGCTTCAAGGGTCTTCTCATTTTGCTCATTGCCCATTCCAGCGATGACCGTGTCCCATCTTGTCATGAAGTTCTTGAGGTCCTCGTTGATGAGCTGGACAGAGAGCAAGTCCTCAAAGTCGTAAATTGCACCATGTTTGATGTTCGTGCTGAAGTGCTTGTGAACCATCAAAAGAATTTGGCGCCCCCTCGCGTAGCGTTTCTCCTTTGCTTCTTGTTCTTTGAAAATGTCGACTTGCCGCGCGAGGTCGCCCTCCAAGATATTCGTCAACGCCGATGCCAGCTTTGCATCAAGATGGACAAACATTCCTGAATCACGAAGGACTTCAACAGTTTGACCTGGGATCCAAGTTGCCTCAATCCACTCAAATGCCTTTTCGGGTTGGTCGGAAGTAGCAACAACAGCATCCCTAACTTTGATCCTCCAATTACGGTACTGTTCGGGCTTCGGGAATCGGGGAATCTGAATTCTGTCACCCTCCTTTACACGAACGCGTTCCGCTGTCGGATCGCTCGAATTACCTAAGTGCTTCAGTAGCTTTCGTCGAAAGGATTCATCCGATGCAGTCGAAGTTGATGACGAAGATGACGAGGGAGAAGATGATGGATCTCGTCGCCGGCGTCGGCTACGGTCCTTCTTCTTTTTCTTCTTCTTCTTCTTTTTCTTGTCCTTGTCATTTCCACCATCACCATCATCGCAAGGCCAACCGTCTCCGGTAGCAGCATCGTCCACGGCCCCGGCGGGAACGGATCCGTCTTTGCCGTAGGGGTCGCTCCCGACCTTCGTCCAACTGTGCGAGGAAGCATTCGAAAGTCCGGGTGGAGATGCAGCCAAAGGAACGGTCGGGATAGCCAAGGGGGTAGCTGGTGCCTGCTGAACGGGAGGCGCAGGGGCTAGAGCAGGTTGAGCAGGCGGTTGCTGTTGATTCTGCATCATCTGCTCGACCATAGCCCTTAGCTCCCTGATCTGCTTCTCCTGCTCGCTGATCGTGTTCATGGCGTTTTGGTACTTCATCTCGGCTTCTCTTTCCGATTTCATGGTGTTCACACGCTGCTCCGCATTCATGTGAATCTCGCGTCTCACGGCCTCCGATTGGCTTTGAAGTCCGGCAATAATCTCACCATGCCTTGCCTCCGCCATCTGGGCGACCATGGGACCGGTGTCCTGATTCACGAACTGGTTGAATTGGGCATTGTTCTGGGTAGCGTTGATCTGCTGATAGTTCGTCACGTCCTGGTTGATCGTCATTGAAGGATCGAGGCGGACGTTTGCAACATGTTGGTTGAACTGATTCATGGACTGTGGCATAGGGTTTCCCCTTGCGAGTCGTACATGACGATGTCACCACGCCGATGCCGATCTGATCCAACAGGTGAAGGAGATCGAGCACCAGACCCGAGATCGAAGTGATTCGGGGCCCTGACTGCTCAGTGCCTGTCCCTTCCTGATGAGCTCCCTGGCCACTTGGGAGTTTGCTCGACTAGTCGGTTCATATTGCGAGGCGTCTTCATCGCCTGCGGGCTCAACAGGTGTGGGACGCACCTCGGTATGGGGTAGTCCAGGGTCGCCATCCATGGCGTACAACTCTGTACAAAGAGCCGCTTACGGCTGATAACCTATAGAACAGGTTAAACAACCGGGAAGGGTCACAAATGAACCCTGTACTCAGCGCGCTTTTTCCTTGAGCCATACGCAGTCGTAATGATGAGACTGCGCAAGTGAGACATTCATGCATTGGGGTTTTACATGGTTGATAAATACATCACGTTACAAACTACAGAAACCAACAAGGATAAATCGATTATCACCATTATCCACTCCAATCCAACTTTTGTTGGCTGCGAACTCCACGCGGTGCTTCACGTTTTTCGGCACTTCTCACTTGGATGTCCGGCCAAGTTGGCAAGTGGTTTCCCACTAGGGTTATAACCCACCAACAACAGCGTCAACTCCATCGAACGCTTGACGAAGTGGGTTATCACCTAGTAGGAAACAGCGTTGCCAACGAACAAGGGTCCTTCGCACCAAGCCCCCTCAAACCCAGCGGCTTTCAAAAAGCCGCCAGAGACAGGGGGGTTCCTCCAAACGTGGCAGTTTCCCCTGGAAGCCACCAGCATCCACCAGCCAAAAACTTTTGGAGGGGAAGTAACCCCCGGATTCTCATCAACCCCTGCTTATGAATATGGGCGCTGGGCCTCTCCAAAAGTGGTCTGAACCCACATTTCACCCAGGGACACCGGGACCCCATGCTCATAAACAGGGGTTGAACTACACCCCATCGTTGGTGTTGGGCAACAGTTTACAGTTTTGCTTATTGTGGTGTAGTGGGAAATCCAAATCCACTTCACTGCCAACTGCCAGTAATTTAATTGTTGGCTCCCCTTCCAACGTCAACCAAGATCCGGGGTCATTCGCCAGCACCAAGAGAAACCACCGGGGCCACCCGAGCGAGGAAGGCCACAGTGGTGCTGCACCAGCCCCTGGCGGAGAACTCCCTCCTGAGCTGCGGCGGCGGATCCCCGGGCTGGCACCTGAACCTCTCCCCTCAGCAGCTTCAGGCGTCGCGCCGCAAAAAGGAACAAAGACCTGGCTCGCCTTTAGGATTCGAACCCCAAAAGAAACAATCGGTATAGAACTGTACAGATTGCTTGAACCCTCTCTAGTTTAGAAAGCAGGGCGTTTCCGTAATCATTGAGGATCAGGTGGTGTAACATACGGGAACCCTAAAACATGTGGCTTCCTTCTGGTTCCCCAAAAAAGTCAAGCCCGGCAATGGGACCAAAAAGGGACACACAAAAATCGAGAAGAGGTCTCCAAGGTTTCCTTCTTGGCCCCTTTGGTTTGGAAGGGGTCTCCTGTGTTGAGGGGCGGGTGTCCTTTCGCCTGGCCGGCGGAAGATGTGACCTGGGAACCCAAGAAAGGTGGCGTCCACTTAGCAGCCCCAAACAAGGCTTCGGCCCTTTCAGAAAGGACACGCGCAGCTTTCCTATTGGCTTGGCTGCAAGATTTCAACACTTCAACATTTCCAGTGGGCCCAATCCTAGTCAAGGTTTGGAGTGAGAAGCATTTTGTCAAGTTGGAGTTGGGATTTGGGGCATGTTGTGTTTTTTGAAAGGATTTGCATTTCGGAATGATATGTTTGGACAGGTTTGAGGGTTAAAGTGTTTCGTTTAGATGGTTGTGCATAAGGCATGCGGCCCAGGTGAGTCTGCATTGTTTCCCAAGCATTCGGGCTGTCGTTGCTTAAAGTTTGTTTTTGTTGGGGGGCAATGTGTGACACACGTTTACACACTTTTCCTCGTGGGTTGGTCTCATAGTACGATGACCGTCAGAAGCTGTTTGGCCCAGGAAGCCACTTATTCTAGACGCAAGGCGTGCTTTCAGGGGCTTGGAATTCACACAGAACGGAATCCTGTTTCAAGTTATTTCTGCTTTTCCGGTTCCGACACCACGAAGAGCCGGCCCTGGCTGGGTAGGCTTGGACTCTGACCAGAAATCTGGGTCGGCTTGCAAACTGCATAGCGCGTCGGTCATCCCAGTCGCGCATTTGGGCAGGACTGGACCGACTGCATTGTGGCCCCCATTGTGGCCCCAATCGCCAGCTGACCGCATTTTCCGCATCCCAGCGCCCAGCGCCCGCCTTAAAGGCGAGCGCCAGGACTCGAAAAATGGTGTTGCTTCAGCGGGCAAAAAAGCTGCGGGCCGATTGCGGCAGCAAGGCGGGGCTGTTTTTGCATGTTAGCAGCCAAATCATTAGCAGATGCCTGTTGCCATTGGCGTTTGTGTGATGTCACGAGAGATGCCAAGGATGCTCGGCACGGTAGCAAATCCTTGCCTTGCAGAGAGATTTGAGCTTTTCCAGGTTGGCAGGTGCGCTGTGAGAGGTTTGCGCGGTATTTCCCTTCTGCGGCAGCTTGATTGCCAAGTAGAAGTGAGTGTCCCCTTGGTCATGTGCAAGTCTGGATCTACAATGGGACAGATGGCGCTGGTGTGTCCTAGCAAACAAGCAACGCCGAGGATAGTCGAACCCCTCCCTTCAACAGCCGTTGCAGGCCGGAGCCAGCCAGAGGCCCACCTGCGGCTTGATGGGCTGACTCAGGTGTAAGCATTCCCCTCCCAGTTTTGGTTGGATGCTCCAATTTTCAGGGACCCATTGGACATGCTCCGGGCAAGGAGGCCAAGGTAAGTTGTGAGATATCATGGCATTTTTTGGATTCGTGGCGAGCTCCAGAAATAACGGTGCGCAACCCATTGGTGCCGAACTTAGCTCCAGCTGATATTCTATGGGGGTTCTGCCCTCGTCGGTGGCATTTAGATCAAGTGGTAAATGCAGCTGGACATTGGAAGCTTGCGCTTGCTTGATCATATGCGTGTGCCTGTGTGCCGTGTGTCTGTGTGTGTGTGTGCCGTGTGTGTGTGTGTGCCGTGTGTGTGTGTGTGTGTGTGTGGGTGCGTGCGTGCGTGTGCGCGTGTGCGTGCGTGCGTGCGTGCGTGCGTGCGTGCGTGCGTGCGTGCGTGTGTGTGTGTGTGTGTGTGTGTGTGTGTGTGTGTGTGTGTGTGTTGTGTGTGTGTGTGTGTGTGTGTGTGTGTGTGTGTGTGTGTGTGTGTGTGTGTGTGTGTGTGTGTGTGTGTGTGTGTGTGTGTGTGTGTGTGTGTGTGTGTGTGTGTGTGTGTGTGTCTGTGTCTGTGTCTGTGTCTGTGTCTTGTGTCTGTGTTTGTCTGTGTCTGTGTGTGTCTGTGTCTGTGTCTGTGTGTGTGTGTGTGTGTGTGTGTGTGTGTGTGTGTCGTGTGTGCGTGTGTGCGTGTGTGCGTGTGTGCGTGTGTGCGTGTGTGCGTGTGTGCGTGTGTGCGTGTGTGCGTGTGTGCGTGTGTGCGTGTTTTTCCTCGAGGTTTGCCTTGTTTGGGGCGGAAGAAGGGGACATCCCAGGGAAGCCGTCCAATGTTTTGGCTAGTAACCCTGCTCCAACATGATGCAGGGAAGCCGCCCATGTTGCACGCGGATTCAACGTCGAGGCAAGCTTTTTGCTCATCATGTCAACTTGTTCAATGTTTGAACTCATGCGTCGTACTTTTTTTGGTGGCGAGCAGAACCAAGTAACAACACGTGAACGTTCAAAAGCGCGTTGTATGCGATCAAACTGGTTGGGCCAACCCAGTTGTTCTTTTAAAGGAAGCAGCATATAAATATTCCAGTTGTTAATTGTTAATGTGTTAACTTTCCCCTACTGGTTTTACAGGGAATCTATCACTACTGGACGTACTTTCTCATGTTTCCTGGCAACAAGAAACGCAAATGGAGGCATTTACTGCCGGGCAGACAGGCATGCTGCGCAGCCGCTCCCTGCCGGCTCTGAAGCGGCGGCCTTGATCGACGCGAAGAATTCGAGGGGCTGGTCATGGCAGCGTTTCTCGATTTTTCTCGGAATGTTCCAAATGAAAAAACAACTGAAAACCCGCAACAGACACCAAACGACAAATGAACATAGCAGGTAAAACACAAGTTGTAAAGATACTTGATTCGTCAGAGTGACCTTCACAAAGGGTGTCTCAAAATTAGGCAATGACCCAAAAAGTGGTGGCTTTTCTTTTGGCTTCCCTTTCAAACCAGCTGTAAAGGGGTTTCCCAGAAGAAAAAAAAGAACAATAATAACAATAAACATCAACGAATTCAAAGTGACATTTTGAACTGTGTTTTTTTTGTGAATGTCAGTAAATGCGCTACAGCACCGCTGCTTTTTCCGGCCAGCTCCAAGCAAGGCAGGCAAAGACGCAAAGAGGTGTCAGCCTGCTGCATGTAATTGACTGTCTTGGACGGCTGTGCAAGTTGGCAAGTGGCTAAGGGCGGCTTCGTCTCATTCCGGTCCACTTAGTTTAAGGGCCCACATGGGCTGGCCGGCTTGCTGTCCACTTCCAAGCAAATCCAATGCCAGTATGTCACCTGCAGTTGTTTCCGCTTGAGCGCCTCTCAAAGGAGACGTTGGCGTGGAAAAGTTGCGGCGCAGACATCATTTCGATGATATTGCGGGCACGGCCACTTGGTGTATTGTGCCTCGCTTCGCAGCCAGCTTAGATCTGTGTGCGTTTATGAGTTGAAGTGGCGGCTGCTCCCTGGACAGTCGCAAGCATATCGTTCGAGCTGTGCAGAACATCCACGCCGCGACCAAGGCAAATACCCTTTGAGTCCCTCCAGTGACGACCCCGAGATTGCTATCCCTCAGCACTTCCCGTTTCCAGTTTCGTGCCATGAGCAGATGAGCTGCAACGGCCTCTCAGGCCCAGGCCCAGGTGTCGGGTTTCGGCAGGCTGTGGGTTTGGGCCAATGGAATCTTCGAGGGTTGCCTTCCGAGTGTGCGCCGCGACCTGGCACCCGTGTGTCAGATGCCATCCAGCAGCATTCAATTAGCATTCAATTTCATATGTCCAAAATGACTCGCATGCTTTGCTTTCCAAGGTGGTGTTGGGCCAAATGTCCGTTCATGATGTTTGCGCAGCAAGCGGGTTCCGGCGGCGACCCTGCCGCTGTTGGAGCGATGGTTTGGGCTTGGCCGGCCACAGGGCGGCCCTATCACGGCAGCATGCCCTAACACCCCTCCAGAGAGGGCGGTGCGGCTGTACACACTCGAAAGCTTGCCCAGTCGTCGGGGGTAGACAGACTGCTTAACGCGGTATGAGCCTCCCACAGCTAGGGCACCTTTAACCTGCTGCAGGCATCCTGGTAGCAATGTATGCGGGGTCTCTAAAGTTTGTAGTTTCATTTTGGAGGAACGCCAAACATGATTTCCCAACCGCCCTCGAGTCTTGAACTTGAACTTCGATTAGGGTGTCCAACGTTCAATCGGTTCCGTGTATACTCCTCGAAACATCGGCTGACGAAAGGGCAGCTCAGAATGCCTTTTTCAGGTTCTGCAGCACCTTTTTTTGTGTTTGAGGTTTCGACGCCGAAAGAGGCTTGCTCCAATCCTATGCATGGATAGAAGTAGATTTTGGCTCCTTGCCATTTCTTTGTCCAGGGGTCAATTGGTACCTTTGTGACACTCTCTTGGGAGCACTCCTGCAAGAGCTGGGAACATTGTTCTAAACATCCAGCCCCTGACCCTGATCATTTTTTACGGGAAACCGAAAGGAGTTTGTTGAAGCAACGGTGGCTTCAGTATGTTCATCTTTACACAGTGGCGGGTCATTGTGGCTGATGAAAAAAATCAGATGCTGAGCCAATAGTCAGCATTGTCAGCATGCTGAAACAACGGGTAGGCCCAACCCTGCCAGGCCGGCCATGGCGTGGCAGAAGCTGCACGCGGGTTCTGGCTTGCAGCGTGCTTGGGTGCGCCGCAGGCGCGGCTTTACGAGGCAGACCTCAAATTCTGAGGAAATGATTTGCTTAGTAGTGGGCGAGCTTAAATCGACATGGGCATATGGGTATTGATACATCTAGCCACCTAGCGGGGCTCTACGTCTGTAGTTTTTTGGTGGACAAAACATGAAGCAGAATCAACGAATAGTATGCTCATATGTTACCTCGATGCCGGCTAAGAAAAAAGGGGGTACAATGATAGCCCTTAGCCAGAAATCACCGCCATGAGTTGCCTTGCCACCAGGAGGATGTCATGTGGGCTCCAGTCCTGTTCCATGGCAATGTGGTGATTGGGCCTTTTAGGGGGTGACTTTGATGGTGTTGGAGGTTTGTTTCCTCTCTTTTGTTCGCTTTTGTCAATGCAAGATAATGTAAGGACACTGTCAGCCCGGCTCCCCTGACACCAGCCGCCTCCACTGCCATTCTGTGATGGGACCCCAACTAAGAGTATCATAAACAAATTGTGTGCTTTTTGTCCCATGTCCACAGGATGTTTGGGCCTGTCGTTTGATATTGGCGGATGGTGCCGCCCTTTGGATTAACACTTTGAGGACCGATCTTGCAGGACGCGGTTGCCAATGGTATGGCCTTGCTGGGCGAATCTTTCAAGCAATGTTTGTTGAACGTCTCACCTTCCGACTGCATCTTAGATGGGTTTCACCAACTCCAGAAGCACAGGTTCAGGAGAACAGATTAGCAAATGTGTATAAACCTTCTACATACTGTGGATGGACGAAAACCTGCACCACCTAAGAAACCGTGGAATGATGATTCCCCTGTAAATGCCAACGAACAACGGCTGCCTATAATTTCAATCTGGCGCAGGGATTTGCGCTCCCACAGTATGGCTAGAGTAGTGAGTGGTGGGATACTGAGCCTAAGATGATTTCCATCCCCAAGCCGCTACCCCAAAGAAAGCCTTGGGTGTTTGCCCGGCGCAGCTCGTTTGACCAGGTCTGCTGCTCTCCGGTGCTTCGTGCTTCATGGCGCCCGAGCGGATCGAGCCCACGGACCCGGACGCGCGTTCGAGCGCGAACGACCCGGTGCGGAAGTTGGCCACACGGCGCGAACATAGCCACGATGTCGAGCACCCAAGGTTGTCAAAACGGGTTCCCTGTTGTTGACATGCAAAATATGCAAAAACCGCAAGAGGCTCCCTTTTAAAGGAAGCATCGTCTTGGACCAGTGAGGTTCCATGGTTTGGATCGGTGGTTTCTGGATTTGAACCCCTGGTTGGCCTCCCCTACCACCAATCCTAACCACCAATCAGCGGAAAGCTGAGCAGCCCTTGCAGCCACCGCCTGAGGTGCACGCCATCCGGGACCGCGCCAGCAGCCCGGCGCGGATCAGCGCGGCGGCGGCGGAGCTGAGGGAGAAGCATCTGGTGCAGGAGTCGCGGGGGGCGGCAGCCGGCGGGGGACCAGTAAATTGCAAGCCAAAAGAGGCGGAAAGTCGGTGACCCCACTTTGGCATCACAGAAAGGGAGCAACAGTTTTAAGGGGAACCGGGTGTCCTGCACCAGGCGTTTTCTTTGGTTTACGGTTGGCTCGGCGTGTATTATTTGAACCCGGGTGAGGCAGCTCCATTGGCAGCCAGACCGTCAGCGGTGCCTCAAATCTGCGCAGTTCCCTGGATCGAGTCCCCCGACCGCGAAGCGTCGCTTGAAACCTCCCTTCCATCCTTGGATCTTGGGATCTTCCTTTACAAAATCCCACCCAGAAACATGACTCGCATCTTGCCTGGTTTTGGCACGTGCTAGGCAGTGTCGGGCCCACCCCTTGTCTAAGCGTCCTAAACATTTAGCATGCCCGTGCTTAAACCACGTTTTGTTTAATGACCAGCATTAGGTTTCAGGTACAGTATCCCTTAATTGGTGGGTTGGGGTGGTGGGTTGGGGAGTTGAACCCCTGGCTCTTGTAGAGGATAAATGGGAGGGACCCCCCCCGGAACCACAAAACCACCAATCCACCAATCCACCAATCCAAAGCACTAATCGGACAATGAGGTTTTCGATGTAGTCCCGGTTTGCTTAAGGGGTGCCAGGATCCGGGCACTTACCGCCTGGTGCGGCTCGGCTGCATCGGTGAGGTCTCAATGTGCAGGATCCCTGTTAAAATGGGAGGCAACAAGCCGTTTCAGGTGATCAGGGTTGGCTGTGGGAAAGGGAGAAAGCAATCTACATGGAGGCGTCCTGAATTTTGACCAAACCCACTTGCCACGAGGAATTGAAAGTGATGTGTGCGGAATCGGCTTGCGGATTGCTTGGGGTCGTCAGTTTCCGGACTTTGTCTCAGAATTTTGGGTGAAAGAGACCCCACCCCCCCGTACCCTGGAGGAAGGGGACCTTGTCATGTTCGTTTGGCGGTGTCTTGTTTTGAGGGTACCCTTTCGGAGGTTGCGGCAATGACCCATTTAGCGGTTCCCAAATTGGAGACAAGGGAGAGCATGGAGGAGGCCCCTTTGTTGTTTTATCTTTAATCTGCGAGGAAGATGATTCGCCATACCCACGCCCACAGAAGTGTATGCCCTATGCCGCTTCGCAAGAAATAAGACAACAAAGACACCTCTCAATTTATTCCAAACTTACCAGAGTCAGTCTCACGGCTTTTTCACGTGGTTTACCTAGAAACAGGTCCCCCCTCCCCAACAAGTCCGTGGCTTGCTGCGGGGCAAACGGGCAAACGGGCGCGCGGGTTGAGGCTGAACACTCTGACCAAGAGGAGCGCCTGGAGAGAGGCGTTGGCCACCTGGGACGAGCTCCTCGGCCCAGGGGACGGACCTCCATGTCCCTTTTGGAGACCTCCAAAGGTGGGTGTTTCTTTTTTGGCCCACAAAAAAAGGTGGAGTTTGAGATCTCCAAAAGTGGTGTGCCGTTTTTTTGGTCGGTCTGGTGTTCCCTTTGGTTTCCCTTTAAGCCAAAAAAAACAGTTGCGTGCGGCTTGGAAAGGGACTCTTTTGACACGCTACAGGGCTGAATTCACCAAAGGTCCTAAGGGGTCCACATCCAAATCGCAATGGGACTTCTGAGATTAATCAACCCCTGGTTGATTAAGGGCGTCCGTTCAAGAGGGCATCCGATTCTTGGGGAGTTGCATCCCCCATGTTTTACCCAGGTTGAACCCGGGGTTCATACCACAACTGGTCAAAAGTATGGGTCCCCTTCTTGGATGCTCTTGACTTAGGATGCGGTGGATCGGCAGCGAGTTGGAGGAGCCGGACTTCGTGCTTGCCATGAAAGCTTTTACTCGCGGCGACCGCTGGCAGGCGGGGCGGGGACGAGGGGACTAAAGCCGTGCGCCGCGCATCTGGCACACGTGTGGTCTGAACCGCCTTAAACAGCAAAACTTCAACAGATGTGGCAACAGCGATTCAAGCTGCCCTTTCTGCGATTTGAAAGTAAAACCCACAACCCACAACCCCAATATTGCCGCAACTGCAAGTGACAGAGCGCGTCTAGACAAATGAATCACTTATCGCTCCCATTTCGGTGCCCTTGACCTAAAACGGGGACAACAAAACAAACAGCAAACCAATATGCGCCACTTAGCGCCGAAACGAAGCCATGTCCCACCCAATTTGCCTGGGCCCTGGCAACAAGAAAAGCTGTTGTTAGAGATTTTCTAAATTCAACTCCAAACTCTAAAGGTTTCAAAGTCTCAGGACATGGCCGGGAAGCGCCAAGGTATGGTTTTCTTGGAGCGTGTTGCCGGGCTTGCATCAACCATGCGCCTTTGGGCCTTTTTTGATGAATCCCAAGGGAGGCTACAGGGGGAGGGAGCCCTAGGGTTTTGCAGGGTTCCTTTTGGGTTAGGGTTCCTTAAAGGGCTTGGAATCCAAAAGACCCCCCACCCCGCGCCCTGAATACGATACCTTTGCGACCTGAGATATGGGCGAGGCCAAAAGCAATCGAAGCGACTTCGCGTTTCAGAAATCCCCGAGAGGGTGACACGTCTTGTTGGCATTACTGCAACTATTTAGTGGTTAAAGTCATCTAGGAAAGCAATTGGGTGGTTTCAGTCACCCCTATTGGGTGTCCTTGTTGTTTAATGCAACGTCTTTCCTAAACCGTATGTTAGCTGGTAGCTCAGTTGCCCAAAGCCGACCTGACCTTTTGTTGTCCAGATGTTGGTGTATTTTTAGTCAAGGTTCCAAAAGGTGATCACATTGGATTTCCAGGTCCTGTGGGCAAGTGAGGCGGGACTTCACTTGGCGTCCCATGGGTTGCGGTGGTGAATGTTCGCCCCTTTGAGCTTGGGACCCATGGGGCTTGTGGTTTCGCAAGTCCCGTTTTTCCCTTCAAAAGAAATAGTTTGCAAGTGGAACCAGGAGGGTAGGGATCATCTACCCTTCTGACCCATGGAACCCACCCAGCCACCAGGGTATCCAATTTAAAGGAACATGGTCTTCCAGGCCCCTTCAGTCAGGTTCCATCTTAGTGGACAGGAGCGCATTCGTTTCTCCAGCGTTGATCATTTTAAGGGCTTGTGAACCCCTAACCCCCAAAATCTTCCCCCTTCGGCACGCAGAAGTATCATCGGCGGGCATCGGCGCATGTCTCAGCCGCAGAGTTGCAGGAGGCGGTGGCGCTCTTTGCAGAGCTCTTGGGCAAGGAGCCGATGCACCTCTCCGAAGGCGAGTTTCGCGCGCGGGGTTTGGCTCAGTGCATGTGACTTGGCCGTTCAGAGTCGTGAGTGGCACACCTGAATGCTTCCAGCCACGTGTTCAAACCCAAAGTGACTGGCTTCCCCAAAATGGGTTGGTTCCCATCAGATGATTGGTCTTCAACAAATGGTTGGCTTCCCCCCATAAAATGCTTGGTCTTCCCGATCAAATAGCTGCTTCCTAAAAAACTCGCAGCCCTGAAAATGGCGAATTTCGGCTTCCTCATGGCCGACCCTTTTGAGAAAGCAAAACAACTCAGGCGCCGCAGGCAAACAGTTTGGACTTCTGGCCGGATCACTGAGGAAGTGAGAAGGTGGTCTCAGGGTGCACTGGGCAAATACTGTAGCTAGCTTGAAGGTGGGTTTGATTAAAGCAAGTTGAACCGCTTGACTGCTCATGGATACCATCCAAGGTATCTCTCCACATGCCCCCCCCATGAATCTCCGCCGCGTTTCGTGTGTTCGGAGCCCTACGTTCCCCTCTTCTTTGCTGGTTCTCCCCAGCCTTTCGACCCGTCAGTATGAGTTTCCCTCAGCCAAACAGGGGGAGCAGTCTGGGCCACCCGCACATTCCAAGCCAGACGCCTCAAACCGACCACCCGAAGCTCCGCCTCGCTCCGCTTCGACCCGCGCGGCTGGGTCCATCGCTGGGTCCAGGCAGGCACCGTGAGGCTTTGGCCCCGGACTGCCGGGCCTACACCACAGCCATCGACGCCTGCCGTCGCGTGGGCGCCTGGCCACAGGCGCGAGATGGCACCTCGATGTCGTCACCAACGTGTTGTTTGGGGGGGGGTTCGTGGGCACCATGAATACCCACCTTTGGTGGTTTTGAAGGGAAATCCAAAGTGAAGCCACAATTTGTTGGGATCACCTACCCAAAAAAAAACACACATACCCACGTGGCTGCGTTGTTTGGAGCCAAGTTGCCTTCCCAGGAAAGGCAAGTGAGTATCAATCCTTCAAGTGGATTCAGTGAATTCGGGTTGATACTGTAGAATTTGTTCAAGCATGGATTCTCAAAGTTATGTGAACGCAGACAATGTGGCTCTACTTCAGCCCTCCCCTGAATTGGCTTGAGTCTGGCTACTTTCGGCAAGAAGCCCTTGGCTCATTGTCAGGGACCTGCTGCTTTCAGTGATCATGAACCTCCATTCAGGGGACTTTGGGTCATTTCCGAGGTGAGGTGACTAAAAGTATCACCTGTGCGGCAAATGAAGATTGAGTTTTCTACTTGTGGTGATCATTCAACGGGGCATGCAAATATGTGTGCTATTTGCAGGCCTGTTGGGTTGCTCGCTGGGTTTTCCATTTCACAGGCTGTCCAGCTTCTCGCGGACATGGAAAACCTGACAGTCACGCCCGACGCCGCCCTTCCGCAGATGGAAACGAAGCGTCGTTCGATTGTTTCAGGATTCAGGCGAACTGATCTTCCATGTGCTTGTGTTATTTTCCCCTGCTGGTTTCCAGGGAGCCTGGCACTACTGGACATATGTTGTTGCTTGTCCAAGGGACTTGAGCAAATGGAGGTGCTGAATCGCTTGCTGATGTTGTATCGGAAACCCGCCTGACGGAGATCCGGTCGCTTTGCAATCTTAGTGTTCAGGGGATTCGGAGCCGAGTTGGTCCACAGCCTGTTTGGGATGGCGCAGGTCATTCCTAAAGCTTTGGAAGCCTACCTGTTTGGCCGGCCACAGTTGTGGGATAAAGGTGCTATCCCATGGCAGATTCATCTCGGTTTTGGCTGGATGCATGGGTGTGACACTCCATCCAGGTTTTCCGAGGAGTGCCCCACTTTCCGCTTTCGCCGGCTGTAAAAAAGGGGTGATTGGCTTAAGCCGGAGATGGTGGGCAGCGTCAAAAATACAGACATCCCTTGCATAATTTGTGGAAACCCATTCACATGTTTTGAGCGCGAGTAGTATTTGTCCAGTTTTGAATTCAGCTCGTCAGTAGTGATTGAAGTTTGGTTGCTATCAAGAGGCTGGCATTCTGACATTCTGGCATTGACCGGGGGAATCGGAAGCACTGAGCAGTTGAACGAGGAGAGGTTTCGGAGGGTTGCTTGCTGGACGTTCTGATGCTTCCAAAGTTCCACGGGTCTATCCCTGTTCCATACCCTCCCTCAACATGGAAGCTGACAGGAGATGCGGGAAGACTACTTGTCTTTGGGGGACTTCCCGGTCACATCCATGATGGTTGGCCAAGAGGGTGCTCGCCTTTCCGTCCGGTCAGACATGAACTTCCCTGTGCATTTCTTTCAAGAACCACCTACAGCAGACATGAGGCCCGTGCTTCGTTTGCCAAAGCCAAGTGGGCCTGCCTGGCATTCCCATCCCTGTTAACATGGAATTGGGGGAGAGGGGGGGTTCCCCGTAACATAAACTCATGCCTCTGTTCCTTTTTTGGGAAGACTCGACAATTCCATGACTTGTCCCCCCGCCAAATGCCACACCCCAAAGTGAACCATAGTGAACCAAAAGCACTATGCCCTGGGCTCCCTATTGCCAGCTTTGGAGGCCTTTGTGACGTTTGCCTGGGAGGTCTAGGGACCCCTGCTGAAGCCCAAGCCCTTGGACCGAAGCTGCGATGCCACCGAAGCCGAGGTGGTGGCGTACAACGCGGTGATGTCGGCCTGCGAGAAGGGCCGCGACCTGCCGGCGGCGGAGCGCATCATGGAGGAGATCCAGTTCTGGGCGCGGCAGCCCAGCGAGAGAGCGAGAGGACGCATGCCAGCAAGGCATCTGCTGGTTTTGAGCTGCGGCTGCTGGTAGGCACCAAAAAGTGTTAGTTTTTTGTTTTTTTAACCATGTCAGGATTTAAGTGCTTTGCAAGTTTTGGGAAGGCGGAAAGGCGAAGAACAAGTTGAGAATCAATGTTCAGTGACATTGTGCTCGGTCAGGGGGGTGGCGCTTGCGTGACTGATCCTTTGTGGCCAAGCCACAATAACAGGATTCGCTGAGTTTGGAGGGCCTCCCTTTCCTCAAAAGAGATCCTGAACTAGCACCTGGATGACGATTGCACCCAAGCTTTATGGAAGTGCGGGGTTGAATGCAAGCTGCGCAGCTCTTCCTTCTGCGTTCCCTTCGCGGGCACCAACAAAAATAATGCATGGAGGCGAGGTTGCTCTTTTGTAGTGTTTTGGCCCTCTCCCAAAAGGGGCCCTGAGTGATATTCCGCTCAGTCATCACGAAGGGGAGCGTGTGGGTGTTTCAGTGCGGCTCTTTTATAGTCGTCTTGCAGAGTTGTCCGCTCATCCTGCGGAAAACGGACAGAGGAGCATATGGACAAGATGAAACAAGCCGGATGTCACGTGGAGTTTGCTAGACCTCATTAAATGTGGCTTCTCATTTTGCTTGCCCATCTCCAATGGATCAAAACTCCCTTGTTCGATGGACGTTTGCATGCGACTTTCTGGTTTCTGGGTGCTGTCCTTGTTGTTGGCCTGGATGGACTGTGGCAATGCGGACTTTCTGAACCATGCGGTGAGTTGCGAAGAAATCAGTCTAAGTGATTTCTCGGGGAGTCAGACATGGCTGTCATGAATTTGAGTATCGAAATTCTCAGGGCTCAAACAATGGCTTCAAGCTCACCAATATCACCAAACGCCACAGGGCACTACCGAACATACTGGGCATGCTGTCCTGCCAGAAAGTTGCCTCTCTTTCTTTCTTTGCTTTCCAGCAGCTTTGGCCGATTGCTATGAGGGATGAAGCTACTTTCTGACGGAACAGCTATGCGAAGCTATGTTTGAAATTCCTTTTGGGCCTTCCAAGCTTATCCGTTGATCTCTTTCGGCTTGGCATAGCCCCTCCCAGCATTTTCGCCCGGGCTTCCGTGGCAGTTTCTTGCAAAAGCCGCCCAGGAGCTGATCCCAGACACTGTACCGCGGCTGCACGATTCCATGCTGGCCCACGAATTGTTTATTGTTTTTTTTGGTTTATGTTTCACAAAACGGGTTTTCAGCCATGATGATGATGATGTTGAGAAACTGCTTGCGGCTCATGTGTTGCAACTCTACGTGCAGCACTGCAGTTTGGTGCTTAGTTGCAGGGATGGCATCTGAACACTCTGCACCCTTGCCCGTTGGATGCTGCACACCGTTGTTCAACATGAAGCCTCATTTTGTGTTAGTCATCCGTTTTGGCAGCGGCACCTTTTGACACACGGCAGGCAATGAAAAGGAGCATCATGGGCCATGCGGGCCAACACGGCCACAAGAGCCCGGGCTCGTGACAGACCCCAATTCCAGACCACAGTTGTAGGGCTGAAATGGGAATCCTTCCAAACCTCCGAGCCAAAACCATGCGCTCTTCAGGGGGGCAAAGGGGACGTCCGAGGTGACCTACAACACGCTGATCGGCGCCTGTGGCAGCACCGCCGAGATTGTTTTCCCGCGCGCCGCGGGTGGGAAGCGGTTGGGTCGTCCAAACCAGAAGTGGAATCCTTGCTTGGCTTCCATTTGCCCAAGAAGATGTTTTATGTTCTCTGTTGGTTTGAAAGGGAAGCTGTCACTACTTCAAATGTGTATTTTTCTATTGAAGTTGGGTCTTTGACCAAGCTGGGAAGTCGTTCCATGTTTTTGTTGCCGAGGGATGCCCAAAGGAAGGCGAAAGAGGACGGAGATTGGTCATCTTTGTCCAGACCCCGCCAGCTTGTGGCTTGAGGTTGGCGAGCCCTAGGGTCGGGATTCCTTATGGGGGGCCACCCGTTACCAACATTCCGCAGGCGCTCAAACCCAAAATGGGAAGAACACCAACGGTAGTGACCCTCAAGAAAACGACGCCCAAATGTGTTTGTCCAGGGCACAGGCACCCACCAGTTTGAGCCAGGGTAGGCCGTAAGATCAACGCCCGACTCGCAAAGCCCGAAGGTCCTCAGCCCAAAGAAAACCATGGGGGACATGGCTCAAAGTGTTGAGCCTGTCAAACTGCCAGCGTCTGGGGCCGACGCAACTGAATATCAACTTCCCAAACACTCCAAACATCCTACGGATGAGGAATATCACACGCCCCGTCTTCGGATAGTGATTCCTAGCCATTTGGCTTGAAATCTGCAACAACAGGTGGGTTAGTCTCCGACATGGGACTTTGGAGTCATGGTCGAACTACCTCACTCGCGGTAGCATTCTGAGAGAACAGCTCGGCAACTTAGCGTCCACGGGCTGCTTTCAGATAGATCTTCATCCCATGCAAAGTGAATAGCCAGGACCTCTACGTAACCAGAGCCAAGATGAAACATGGAAGCATTGCTGTCGGCAATGAATCTGAGCGCAGCAGCACCAGCCAGGCTGGGGTCAACAGTGGGAGAAGGCCTTGTACTACCTCAGCGGCTGGGCTAATTGGCAAGCTGCTCCCTTGCGCCCCAAGAAATCCTCAGTCAGGCATGGCATGACATCAATGGGCATCGGATTTTCTCCGGCCTGCGCTTAGGAACCATTCAGCGCACCTACTTTGACTACGACCTGATCTCTTACACTGCGTGAGACCTGGGTCGGGCTAGAAGGCCCGAGGTGACAGCGTCCAGAGAAGGAGCCCCTCAAAGACTTTCCGTGCCGTTGTGCTTTTGGTACCATCTGATTGGGTTTCAAATTTGGGGACCACAAAATTTGGAGGTGCAAAGAACAAAACCGCATGACACCGTCCGTTCTTCGGGGTCCCCAATCAATTGAGAAGCACCCTTTCAATTGAGAAGCACCCTTTTGGGTGTTGTTTGTTGAATGGTCCCGTTTGTGGCGTTGGTTTGAAGAAAGGCCAAAGAAAAACCGCCTATGATTGAGGACACCCTTATATCGGCGTTTCCTATTACTCCGCTAGGTGGCTTCCACGTGAGCACTCGCCCGGCCGCCCTGCTCCAGTTCTTGGCTCGAGGGGTGGCCGAAGGCCAAGCCCCGCCTGGAAGTTTAGTTCGGCGACACTGCAGGGGACAATTTTTGCTTGATAGGACAGAAGGGGTGTGTATAGGCGTGTAATGAGTTGGCCCCCTTTCGGTGACTTCCCACGAGTTCACTCGGCATGGGACCCTGCCTGAGAAAAGCCATGCATTGTTTGCCTGGGTTTTTCAGCATGTTTTGTGTAACCTGGAGTTGCCCCTACTGTAGGTTTGGCCTTAGCAGGTTTGAGGGCGCAAGTGGCCGATTCCCCCTAACCAAGTTGTGAAGAGAGCCAGCCAGTGCCAACATGTTGCAGGCCACCTGGGTGTGTCTCGTGGTGCCCCGTTGGAAGCGCAGATGGCTGAAAGCCGCTTCAGCTGGTCGAGCCTCATATCCTCGCCCGCCGCCACGTCGCTTAGCGAAGTCTTGGCCAATCGCCTGGCTCAAAATGGCTTGGATTCTGCGACTCGCAAGTGGCAGTCACAAAATGGGAAGGAATTCTAGTTGGGGACCCTTTACTGGACATGATGTGGGGATGGATGCAACCTCCAAAGCCCACCAGCCAAATCCCAGCAAACAAGAGCTGGCTACAAGCGACTGTTTTCTCCATTCCCATTGGCACGTGGTTCGCGTGTCTGATTCACGGAGCTATCCTGATTATGTTACTTCTATACTCGTTAGCTATGCTCTAGGTAGCCCACAGCCCCATTCAAATTATTTGGCCGATGGGGTGAATCTTGGCCAGCTTGTGTTTGTCGTTTTTGTTGGCTGTCCCTGTCCTGTCTTTGTTTGGAAGATGGCGGATTGACGCGGCGGCTTACTCATTGTGACAGGTCGCCCGTTCAATCCACATAAGCATCTTGCCAGCGCATTCGTGTGGCCGCCATCATCTCCCCGTGTTTCAGGGACCTGTTGGCATATCGGTCAGTCATTTTTTGAGCTCCTCCAAGCTGACCAAATCTGACCAAATGCTGCTTTCTAGTGTTACGCTAGTTGGCAAATATCATTTGTAATGCCTAAGTTGCCATCCCCTGGTCGTCAACAGTGGCTGCCTCTCAGAGGGGTACCTAGTAATTCCTCGTTGGCTGAGAAATTAGCGGAGGGTCGACTGACGCAGGCGCTGGCCAATCTTGTTTTTTCATCATCTTTGGTCCGCAAATGGACCGCATCTTGGATGGTAAGTTACTCGTCCCAGTCCTCGTGAACCGTGTGAATTTGTTTTCTAAGCGCGCTCGTCTGGGGCTTTGTGGTTCGGGTTGGTAGCAGCTAGGGGCGTGGTGCTTTCTGCAAAAGGTGCAGACCAAGCAGAGAACCCGAGCAGTGGAGGGGAGCCCCAAACCAACAGCCAGCCTTGCTAGACCACCCGTGGCTGAGTTGCCACCATCATTGCTTGACCAGCAACCCCTCAATCTAAAGGGGTTTTCAAGCCATATGCATGATCCATTGTGTACTTAAGCAAGCAGTTAGATCGATGAGAAAGTCGAAGGGGCAATAATATGAAAACATATCTGATTAATTAAATTGTTAGCCTTGGAGCTACTGTTTACCTGTTTACCTGAAGTGTAAGCCTGTGAGTGTATCAAGCCGGCAATGTAGCACGCATTTTGTACTGGCGCTATGCTGTACACTCAAGGCCTTGATGATCCTTGATGTACCCATATGCAGCGGGTGCTACGTGTAGGGCAAGCTGTACAAGGACGGATGTATGTTAACACCCCGCCTCACTTTGCAAGTGTACACACGGCCTCATGGTTCGGGATGATGTAAGGCAAGCTGCATGTAAACTGATCTCCTGCATGTCCCTTGCTGTCGGCTCAAATGCTCACGTATCGTGACCTTCATGTCCTCGCAGGCTGCCCAAAGGACACAAGGACATGTGACTGAGGTCTGTGTACTGGGGTTCCCTGTAGTGTGCAAATGTTGCAGAAGAATCTGTTCAATTTCTGTGCTAAGTTACTGTATGCAGGAAAATCAATAGCCTGTGCAGTTGTAGCATGCATCAAAGATGTAGCTGGCGGTGCATTCAGTCTTGTAACCTGAATCATGTTGTTCGGGTGGCTGATGTGGCACACGCGCCGTGTCTCCATCTCATGGGTGTCTAAGATGTAGGTCGCGGGTGACATCAGCTGTGCCTGAAGAATCTTGTAGCCCTTGCTGAAAGCCCATCGAGCTGCATTCCACCAAGCAGTTGAGGTTCAACACGGACAAAACCTTCCAACACTCCCACTCCTGTAGTCTGCTTGTGTTGATCATCCCTTCTGGAAGTAAGTAGGTGAATGCAAGCATCGTGTGGGCTTGTGTTGAAGATCATGTAGAGCATGTTCGGTTGTCTCGTCCAGCCACGTACACGTGATGTCATCTGTGGAAGACAGCACCGATGTGCACTCCTCAGCTGTCAAGGCGAGGTAGAACATGCACTCATGCCCATTCCTGGAGCAAGCACGTTGATCCCCAAGTGTGGGAGGTTGTTGATCTGCCCAATGTTGCACCACCTGTCTCACCCCAGATGCTTGTCTTCTCCTGAGGCATGCATTGTCCAATGTGGACAAGAGCCCATGCCTGGAAGTGAATTCCAAACTGTACAAGCCAAAAATGTGCAAGTGGCTTCAGCATGTGCCAAAGCATTGCCAGACACGTGTGCAAACTGTCATGCAAAGGATGTCCCAGATGTAAAGGGGGTGTTGTACAAGGTCGTAAAAGCAGGGGTCGATCCATGGCTGTTGCACCTACCCGAATATGTATGCCGGCTGATTTAGAAACGTGTGTGCTGGGCAACTGTTCTTTCACAAAGAGTGCAAACTGGGTGAAACTAGTCGTGCTGCCCTCACAGGCCAACTGTGTACATGTGCTTGTTGAGGGTGTCACTGCCGACAAACTTTGTCAGTATGTCTGCTGGGTTGTCTTCTGACTTGAAATTGTGCATTGTGATGGTGTTGCTGTTGACGAGTTGTTGTATGAAGAGGTGTCGCAGCTCGATGTGTTTTGCTTTCTTTGATGCACCTTCCCTCTTTGTGATTGATTTAGTTGCGCTGCTGTCTGTGTGTATTCTGATGTTGGTGCGAACTTCAATTGCTTCCTTGATGAAGTTGCTGATGTAGACGCTCTCCTGTGCTGCTGTACCAGCCGCGTACAGTTCTAACTCTGCTGATGAAAGTGCTATTGTTGCTTGTGGTCTGCTTCCATAGTGTATTGCTGCTCCAAAGAAGTGTATCGCAATTCCTGTTGTAATTGCTCTTTCTTGTTGTCTCGCCTGATGCCCAGATGGCGTGTGTGTGTGTGTCGATGTTGAGTGGGATTCGCTTGTCCTGAATCTGTATCTTTGGTCGTAGGTTGTGTCGAATGTGCCTTGTGCCTGTCAGGTACCTCTTCATATGCTTGAGTTCTTGTTGTCAGACAGTGTCGGTGCTCGTGGTGATCTTGCTAGTTCTTTTGGTCCATAGCTGATGCTTGGTCTGGTGTTTGCAAACCACTACATCTTGCCAACAAGCCGCTGTATTGTTGGTGCTGTTCGTGGTCAAGTTGTGCTAAATCTTCTGCTGTGCCTTTCATTTACAACACTCCTGGTGATTGTGCTGGGTTGCATGTATCCATTCCTGATGCTTCCAGGATGATGTCAACGTAGTCGTTGTTCAGGCTGATGTCGATGTAGTTGCCTTTGTGCGAAATGTTCCTGCCAAGGAAATGTAGTGTTGTTCCTACATTGAGGTCGCTTGTGTGTCTCAGCAAGAATTCTTTCTGCATTCTGCTGAACAGTGTGTCAATGATGCTTTGTACCCCTATGACCAGGAGGCTGTCTACATAGACCATGACGTAGACTAGGCAGTCTTTTGATCTGTAGACATGGCTTCTGTTGTGCATCTCGCAAGTTCAAGCATGACGGTGAGAATGTGTGCAATGTGGTCTTGCCACTGCTTTGATGATCTTGAGGCTTTGATCAGGCGCCACATTATGTGTCTGCTTGCTGCGTTGTAGAAGACTTGTGGTGGTCTCATTACCAAGTTGTAGGAGATGGCTGCTGCATGTAGGAATGCAAAACTGAGTTGCACACTCATGCCATTGTAGAAGTACTCTCAGTATGCAAAACAGTGGTGTACTTGCAAAGAGTAGGTCGCGGTCTTGCTCGTACCTCGTTGTGTCTTTGTCTGAGAGCCCATCTTGATTCAATAATGGTTGCCTGTTGTGCTGGTGTCATGTTGTTGCCACCAATCTCTCTGAAGACTGATTGGTCCTTCAGTTCATGTACTTCCTTCTCCATGCCTTGCGAAACAAGTTGTGGATCCAAGCCTTCTGTGTCGTGTATGATTGGCTATAGTAGGACCCTTTTCGTTTTCAATCTCTTGTATGTCCTCGTTGGATGTTGCCTCCACTTGTCTGCCATCTCTTGTTGTAAACTTAATGGCATTGATTCTCACCTTGCCTTTTGGTTTTTCTGCTCTTGTAGGTCGTTCCATCGCTTGTCTTCCTGTTGTCGTGCATTGATCTGTCTGTGTACTCTGACAAGTTCACCTTTTGTATTGAACTGCCAGTAGTCTCCTGCATATCCTGCGTCTGTAAGTGTAAGTGTTGTTGTTGGTGCTATCATGCCAATCTGTCCTTGCTGCGTGCTGTGCATCTGTAGCTTTCATCCGTTAATGCTGTGACTTCTGTTTGAACAGGCCATCTCTGTTCTCCAGTGCGCTGTTGAATCTTGGATTGTCATCCAGTGTAAGTTGGTAGCCTTGTTCCACCAGCCTGGCAACTGAAAGAATTGGCTGTTTAACCTCACAAACGTAGAAGGGTATGACAATTTTGTCTGCTGTGGTTTGTCATGCAAACCCATCTGTACCCAAAGAGCTTGATGTGTTGGTTGGTCACTGTCCTCAGTTGTGGTCCTGACCCATGCTCAAGTTGCCGTAGTGGGAACTGTGTTGCAAACCGTGGTGGGCATACATGTGTGGCCGCACCGCTGTCAATCATAAGGCTGACCCATTTGTTGTCTTCTGTGAGTTGCTGACCTGTGCCAATCATGGCAATTGTTACTTCTTGTAACCCTCAGACGGGTACTCCTGATGAATCTGCTGGCTGTGGCAGTGCTAGTTGTTGCACCTTTGTTTGATCCTGGTGGTACCAATTGCTGCCACAGTGTACGTGACTGTACCAGTCATCTGTCTGATCGTTGGTGTCGAAGTTGCCAGTGTCGCAGCTGCAAATCGCCACTCTTCATTGCTTGGCCATGTGTCCTGGCTGTCCACCTGTGGCAGACAGTTGTTGCATGTTTTTCTTTTGCTCTTTCCTTTGTTGCTGTGTCCTTTGCTGAACCCTTGTTAGTCTTTAAAAGGATTTCCTTCTCCAACCGGTTGATTGTACTGCTTGCCTTTTCCTTTGTAGTTGTTATAGTGGTAGTTGTTCCCGTAGCCGCCGTGCCCTTGCTGTTCCCGTAGCCGCCGTAGCCCTTGCCTTTGTTGTGCTTTCCTTTGCCCTTTTGCTGCGCTTGCCTTTCTTTCTGTTGCCTTTGCTGTACCACGTTGCTCCTACGTCCATTGGTGCTGGTCCTTGGTTCTTGCTGTTGTTGCCTGATGTGGTTGCTTGTAGCCTGTTGAATGATGATGCTGCTCTGTAGTACTCTTTTGGCAGAGATCTGATTTGCGCCTTTGTTGTGGTGCTTCCTGCCTGCAACGTATCTGCTGCTGTAGTGGTCCGTTTGTCTCAATGAGCAGTATTGCGATCCTGGCTGCGTCTGGTAGTAGTGTGTCGCCGTCTTGTTCTTACTTATAGAGTTGGAACTCCCATGTTGCAAAGCTCTCTTCGAACTTATGTTCACCAAGTTGTGGTTTTAGCAGCCTTGTAGAAGCCTTGAAATGTACCCAGCGTTACTTGTACCAAGTGCTATGGAGTACCTTGCGTGTATCAGCCGCCATGTTTTGTAACCGTTGCCTTGCATGTTTTGTCTGCGTATTGTGGATGCTGGTGCTCACCAAGATGTAGTGTAGGTTGTTGCTCAGTTGTGTCCATTGCTCTGCCACCTGCTGTGAGGGTGCTGCATTCTCCAGTTGGTCGTTTGTAACTTTTCCTGTTGATTGCTTTGACTGTTTCAGCAGTCTGTTGTACGTGGGGTCCAAGATATGCTGTCATCTTGTACTTCCATTCGCCGAAGGTGTTGTATTCTCCTGTGAGCCGTGGTGGTGATATCTTGTACTTGTGGATTCCTTCGGGCCGCCATTACTTGTGTGGTGTATGGAAGGGCCGCCAGATCTTTTGCAGGTGTGTAACTGTGTTCATTCCGCTACCATGTAAAACTTGGAGCTACTATTGACCTGTTATGTCGCACTCGTGTTGTACTGGCGCTATGCTGTAGACTCAAGGCCTTGACGTATCCATATGCAGCGGGTGCTACATGTAGGGCAAGCTATACAAGGACGGATGCGTGTTAACAAACACATGCATAATATACAAATATATATATATATATATGGGTGTGTATGTTGGTTCCTTTACGCACAGACGTCTGCTTCTCTAGCCTTGGAAGGCGGCTTGTGCAGTGCTTTTCAGCTTCCAGGCCTGCCACCCCATCGCGCAGCCCCCGACGGAACCACTTCGAGCCGCCGCCGGTGAACCCGTTGAAGGCCTGCAGCTGTTGCTCTGCGAGCCGGTCAAGCGGCTCGCGGGTGAAGGTGGCCGAGCGGAGGACACCCAGCCAGGAGATCCTGCGTCTTCCCAGCGCAAAGGGGGGTTCTAGGGATCCCCTAAAAGAGATGGACTCCTGTGTGGGAGAAGTGCATTTTGGGACATGGGGGCCGCTGGCTAAATTTAAAAGCAATGGGCGAGATCCTGCCAGGTGGAAGCGGGTTTTTTGGTGGTCGGGTTACGAAGTAGGATTGGGGATCGAGGTTCTGGCTGCCTTCTTTTGGTATCCACACATCTGCAACTCAGCGCTGCATCCAGGCCTTCCCCAAAGGAGCAACCAGAGTCCAAGAAGGGTAACCAGGGCCATTACCCAGCAGGGAGATCAACAAAAGCGGACCTTTGGGAACTTGTCATTTTATTGCTGCCTTTCAAATCAAAAAGGAGGCCCGTAGCTTCAAGACAACCCTTTCCGCGTGCTTGCCAGGTGCCCAACGATGCATATGTATGGTTGGCTGGCAAAGTTGCGTGCGATACCGACATTCTGTTTCATTTTGCGTGCTTGCTTGGTTGATTGGTTGGATGCTTGGTTGGTTGGTGTGGGCTGGTGGGTTACTGGTTTGGTGGTTGGGTGGGTGGGTAGGTGGTTGGGTGGGTGAGTGGGGGGTTGGCGGGTTGGCGGGTTGGTTGCCTGGTGGGTTGGTGGGTTGGGTTCGGTTGGTTGGTGGGTGGGTGGGATGGGTGGGTCGGCCAGTCAGTCGGTCGGTTGGTGGGTTCGGCTGGTCGGTTGCGGTCAGTCGGTCGTTCGGTCGAGCAGTTGGTTTTGGTTGGTTTTGTTTGTTTGGTTTCTGGTTTTGGCCCCTCGGCATCCAAAAGGTTCTACTGACATCCGGCGTTTGCCCAGGAGGCCCAGCTCCCACAGACCTCCGCCGCCGCCGCAAACACGGTGTACGTGCCGGAGCGCTTCTCCACGGAGGGGTGCCTCGAGGCGATCCTTCCATCGGAGTTTCTACGGGCAAGATGGATGTCCTAACCTTGAGTGGGGCCCTTTTGTTCCATGTTTTTTGTTCCATGTCTTTTTGAGGGGGTTTTCCCTCAAGAACTATTTACCAAACAAGAGTGGTTTCCCTGTCTTCCCATTGCAACAGGTTTGGGAGCCAAATAAGGGAGCAAGGAAGCCACCGTTTCTCGAGCACCCCAATCTCACTTGACCACCTTCAAGGCCGAATTCTCCTTTGATTCTCTATTTCGCCATTGTAGCAAACAGTTGAGTAATGCCTTTGCAACCACCAGGCCCTTTTACCCTTTTGGCAAACCCTTTCAACTTACGAAAAGGGCCCTTCAACGCCCTTGTCAAGTCCCTTTGCCGAACGCGAGGTCCGAACCTGCAAGAAGGGAAGCCCGTCCAAACATCGGGGCCCAAAGGCAAAGGTGGCCCGAAATGCCCGGGAGGGGGGGATGAAGCCGGAGACTCGCCATTTGGAGGCGATGCTGCGCCACTGGGAGCAGGCGGATCTGTTTGGGGGAGGGGAGGGCGCAGGGTGGGTAGGTCTTCCCACTTAGGAACTCGCTGGAAAAACAACACCTATATATTTAAGCACTGAGGGCCTCAACTGCAATCGAATCGGATCAGTGGAATCAGAATGGGAATCTCGAGAATGAGGTGAACCTGCTTTAGAGGGAAGGGAAGATCCAATTGATTAAGAAGGCTAGTTTATTAAGGAGGACCCCCTGTTGAGCATAGGGGCCTTAACCCAGCTAGCTAGAACAGATTTCAGTAATTTCTGTTCGTCCCATTAAGCGACATGGAACCTGCTGGAGGGTCGCCTGTTGAGGAAAGGACCCCGAAGTCGCACCGGCTGTTGTCTAGGTTTTGGTCAAGTCCCGTAGGGCCAGTCTTCGTCAAGAAAGGTCCGTGGGCAGTGATTTCCCAGCTTGGACTAAGGATTGGCCAACCCTCCATCAAAATTTGAATAGGGTGGACCCCAGAATGGTGTTTGTCCTTTCCCAGAAAAGGTTCCTCCACCCTCCAACCCATGGGAAACCCGATTTTGGGTGCGACCACTTCACATGGCACGAGTCGATTGGCCAGGTCCACTTCAACGAGGCGATGCCTTCACTGACCCGCGGGGAGAAGGAGGAAGGCAGCGCCGTCAGCGCGACCCGGGAGTGGTATGAGGACTGAACGCGCCGGGAGCTGGCGGGGAGATGAGAGATGGCCCAGGCTCATGCTTCTGCCTGGTTTGAAAGCCCAGCAACAGGGAAAATGGGAGAAGGGGGTCAAGAAGCAGGGTGTTGGAAAACAAGGCGTGGTCTCGGTTGGCATACATCATGGAACTGCCCGATGTCAGGGCGAGTCACAATCGGGGAGTAACAAGGCTGCCCCGCACCTACAGTGCCTTTTCGGGGCAAACTTTTGCTGTTCTGTAGGAGTCTGACTGATGTTTTCGGATGAGTTCAGGAGCCTGCACGAAATGTAGATATTTCGGTAGTCACGCAGACGATCAGTGATGTGATGAAGGTCCCATTGTGCGAAACCCTGTCCTTTTCTGATCATCGAGTGGCTCAAAACCGACAATGCTTGCCCTTTTGGCCTGGGGGGTGCTGAAGGGAATACTGAAGCCGAAACAGAAGGCACTTCCAAGCTCAATACTGCGAAATCCTGCATCCCCATTATTCATATCAGGCTTCGTCCATTCCAGCTTGTGCAGGATCTCGTCCATCCACAGTACCCGCAATCCAGACTAGCGAATTGGAGGAAGCTGAGAGTTGGCAATGCGTCCCTGCATGATCACATCATTTGCCTAATTTGCTTCTGATGCATGGCCAGTTGGGGCAGCACTGGGGGATGGCGGGGGTTTCAACTGTGTAGGCGAAAGGCCGGGGCCCCAAGTATCAAAGTAAACCTGTGCCCACGCCACAACAAAGAACCCGTATATACCCCACGTTCAAGGGATGGTGCAGGAGATCAAGAAAGTTGGCCTTGTGCCGGAAGCAAACCATGACTTTTGAAGGTTCTCCTATCACCCGAATCGTAGTGTCGTCCATCTTGTTTCCACTCGGCCGGCCCCCTGCCGGTTGATGAGAGGAATACCGAACACAGCGAGGGGCATGTGGTTGCCAACGACCGCAGCACGGAACACAAATGGCCACGCCAGAACACGATGCAGCTTAATGCGCTGTCCAAAGCGGCGTGTTTGAATCGGACGCCCTGGGGCCCTCGCAAGGAAAGTTGTTGCACCAAGCCATCTTCGCGTCACTTGGTTTCAATGGACTTTCTTACTTGGGAAGGTCATTGCGGCAAACGGTGTGAACTTTCATTGGCCAATCTCATGAATTGAGTTCGCGGTGGCAAATGGATGTCTCGTTTTTTGAGGGCAACCCTTTTGAAGACGCATTGTTTTCAACAGGACCGCCCGGCCATTTTCTGAGACAACCACCCCCAACCACCCCCCAACCAACCCCCCAACCCCCCCCAACCCCCCCCAACCCCCCCCAACCCCCCCCAACCCCCCCCAACCGCCCCCAACCCCCCCCAACCCCCCCCAACCCCCCAACCCCCCCCCCCCAACCCCCCCCAACCCCCCCCCCCAACCCCCAGCCCAATTTGTTCGCCCGGCAGGAGACCTGCCTGGCCATGGGGCAGATGGGTGCAGTCCACCACAGCTTGACGGGAGTGTGGCTGGGCGCCTTTGCGCGGCGGCAGCGATACGAAGAGCTGCAAAGCTGCTGGGCCTAGGATGGCTGTGAGTCCGAATTGGCGGAGCCAGGTGAAGGTTTAGAGATGGGAACCTCACTCCCTGGACTGTGGGCTTTAGCCGCCTTTTTTTTGGGCTTGGACCATCTTAGTGGCAAGGAGATCGGACTTGTTTCTGGCCAATCCGCCCAGGAAGTGAGGATACATTTTTTTGCCCTTGGCTAAAATGATGGTAGTAAAGATTTAAACCCCAGCGAACCCAGACCTTTTAAGTAGTTGGTTGACATGTTTCACCTAAAGGATGTCCACAAAAGCGTCCCTAATTAGAATTAGTACCCAAATGTGTCTTGAAGTCGGGAGCCCTCTGAGTGGCTGGAAGGATAAAAGGGTTATACAACCCATGAAAAGCGGATGAAACGACCACGAGCACTTTGATCAGTTCAGCTCACCGATCGAGGGTACGATTTCCGGAAGGTTCCTTGCCTGGGGTTCGGGGAACCCCTTCCAAGCCAAGTAGTCGTGGAGATGGGACTGCTTTGCTATCACAGAATGACGGCTTGAAGAAACGGTCGGATCGCAGTATCCCAGTGTCTCCCTGAAAAGTGATGCCGACCTGCAGATGTTTCATCTAGAGTTGCTTGAACATGGGCTTGTGTCGAAAAGAGTAAGAATCGCGAGACAGGTCAGTTTTCTTTATTTGTTTTCCTCAAAAAGGCACCCTTCAAAGAAGAAACCCTGAAGCCCAACCCTGAATGAAGCACAGCCAGTCTGCGCACGATTGGACCGACGCCTCGTCTCACCCTGGGCAAGGGCCATCTCGCAGTACTTTTTGAAGTGACCCCAGTGGCCCAGGGCAATCAAGCCTTCCATTTGCTGATTTGCGCTCTCCTGTTTGTGCCAAAGAGCAGTGGACGGTTTTACGCGTTGTGTGGACATTCAGGGGACCCAGCAGCTTGCACCAGAGATCATGTAGCACCAGAACTCAAATTTGGGGTCACCCATGTCCTGTGCAGCAAATGGAAGAGTCCCTGCCTTTAGAGTCTGCTGTGCAGACGGGGGACTCAAAGCGCGACCATGAGCCGGACGTCAGGACCAGGTCTCGCCTCTAGGATTGGGGTCCTCAGATTGGAATGCTTCTCTCTTTTTCAGAGTCATGCGGCTCAGGTTTCCTCCTCGTAAACGCGACTATGCTCCCTTTATAAGCCCAATGTATGTGGACTTGTTGAGTCAGGGTATTCGGACCGGACCGTGCAAAGCAGGACCTGTGTGGTGTTTTGCCAGGATTTTGTGCTTACTAGGGTTTTGTGCTTCACTTTTCGACCGCAAAATGCAACCTTCGGCAACAACATCCACAATTTTGCGTTGATTTACAGAGAGTTTCGATTTGGTGCTGCAATCTTGCAGTGGGAAAATGAGGATCCCTGTTAGGACCAGGCACGCACCACCTGGCGCCAACAGTTGCAGCCGGCGCCTGGTCAGATTCCCACGCCTCGTCTCGCATGCTGCTGCCTTTGCAGATCTCCTGCGTCATGAACTTTCTGAATGCATGTTTGGGAGCCCCGAAGTCCAGCACAGTTGACATGGTGCGCCGTCAAACGCTTGCCAGATTCATCATCGGGCCTTAAGTCTTCTCATCTACACATCTTCCAGGCGTTTTTTGTTGGGGGCCCCTGAGCGTGCGGACCCACGCCGGAGAGCATGGCGACTCCTGGGCCACAGTCCCAGAACGGGTTGGGCCACCTGAGTCGCATGATGGCAACAGCCAGTGGGGCAAAAGGAGCGCGGCTGTTTGTGCCTCTTGCCACTAGAGGCTCCCCTTGTTGGCTGATGAAGTGGCCATCCACCATGAAAGCTCGGAAAGCTTCACTAGTTGTGACATGTGATGATGTCGCCGAGTAAAGCTGGCACACCCGTGATGAAAGTCCCTTGCTTGGGCATCCCTCAATTCTACTGGAAATGAATGCAGATCGAAAGAGGCGGCCTTTGGAAGCAGTTCCCAGTCAGAGTCCCAAAGAAGCAGGGATCTGGGAGGGGGTTTTGGGAGCAGTCAGGAAAGCTTCGGGGGACATACAAGATGACTTGAGACATTTGCTCCCTCACCACGTCCTCGCTTCTTTGTCCGCCCAGACAGCACCTGTTTGCAAACTTAGCATGTAGTCAGCACGACACAATTTTGTGCTTTGCCGTGATGGAGCTGAGAATTGCATTCATTTCGGAGGCAAAGCGCAGATACAAGTGATGTCCCAGCGGGTCGAGGCCAGCTCCAAGAAAGTTTAATTGACAAGAACACCGAAGATGAATCAGACTTAATTAACAACCAGCACCTCCTTCAACTCTGCTTTTTGGACAGTATTTGGGATTTTGGACGTGGAAAAGGGCAGATGTTGGTGGGTGCTGGGACAATAGGTTGGAAGGCTACAGTCCTGGTACCGTGCTTTCCTACACAGAAAGGATGGATGCAACTGACCGTGCAGCCCAGGGAGCTGCACGGAGATCAACCAACAAGTTTGAGGCATGCTGTGGGTGGATGAAATCCTACACAATTTGGAAACTCATCATCATTCCAGGGATTCTTTTGTAGGATGTCGTCCATCCACAGAAATTATAGGAAAGTCGGTGCTATCTTGTGACCCTTGGGCTGAGGCTGCTATCAGCGCGTGTGCAAAGGCAAATCAATGGGCCCGGGCCCTGTACGTGCGGGGCTTGAAGGGAACCTGCTTGGTTTTGGGTCAGCATATGAAGAAACACAATGAAACAGGGGCCCTTTTCAATTCATAGCGACCTCACAACGGGAGTTGGTTTGAAACCTTGTCCATGTTGAAGGCTTTTTTCTTGGCGTCCCTTGCTTCATGAGTCGACATATTTTTTCCTAATGCGTAGCATCTTGTTGGCCCTGAGTATTTCACACTCCCTAGGGACGACCCAGTTCTATACAGCCGTTGCTGCTGCTTTTGGGCTGCTTGTGAGACAGGGGTATGCATCATGAATGGAGCACTGATGGGGTGCAAGCTTGAACTGCCGGAGTGGCTCAAGTTGCTGCTGCCTGACGAGCCGATCTCCGACCTTTGTTTCTTGCGGCCCAGAAGATATGCTTTCAGGATACCAAGAGGTCCTGGAATTTCCCGGCGCTTTGGGCCGGATTGGAGTTCAAGTTTTAGACCACGGGTCGCCATGGAGCCCCGCAATATCAAAAGCAAAAGTGTACGCGTTGGAACTGACCTGGGATCCGTTTTGCAGTTGTGGGCCTTTTTTGTTTTATTGGAGTCCCATTTTTGGACACAGACCCGTATACCCGTGCTTGATTTTCATGATGGTGGGGGGGTTCGATTCTAATTTCAATCCAAAAAGACAGCCGCAGCCGCAATTTTGGGATACCCTCCAAAACCCGGCCAGCGATTCCTCGTGTCGAAACCGTCGCCGGTTCACCAGGAACTCGCCGTGGCGCTGCTGGGGGAGGAAGCTCGCCAGGTGAAGGGCGAGAACATCAGGCAGCTTTGCATTTGCAGAGCTTGCAGTAGGTGGTCTGGACAGTGTAGAATAACGATAATAACGGTAACATGGTGAAGGAGTGAAACATGTAAAGCGCTACCGGCGGCGAGCGCGAGCGCAACGGGTGGGACTTGTGAGTTAAAGCTTATGAATTCAGGAAGGGAGGTAGCGCGTGCGCACCTTCTGTGCAGTCTCCCTCTGGAAAACCCAGAGCAGCTTCCTAAAACTGACCTCGGCGACCAAACTTTTTCACGGCACAAAAGGCAGCTCCTCACTGCAGTCGCCAGCGTTTGATCTGCAAAAGGACTGCTCTTGATCTGGTTACATTCCTCGCCCCGGAATGTTAACGAGGATCGTAGATTTCGCAGAGAACAGGTCATGGTCGGCAAAGACAACCGGAAGCAACAAAAACAAAAAACACAGAACAACCCGGACAAGGGGAGGTTGCCGGGGTCCTGCACATGCAAGCTGAACCAATGTGGTTTGGCTCCTGTGCAGTTCCTGTTACATCTCTGCAGAGTTTGCAGGGCCAAGGCCCAGCAGGTTTCGACACTAATGAGCCCTGTCCGTATAGCCGGTGACTTCCAATATGAGGATTGCCGTTGTGGCGCATAAAACCGTCCTGGCTCACGGAAAGGTGTTGATGCACGTCACTCCCGCACTGCGCTTGAGGTGAACCGTGGCGGGTTCTTTGATTTAAAGGATGCATTTGTGCCATTTGGACAATTGGAGAATCTCCAAATACCAGCTTACATGACGATCCATGACGATCCCTTGTATAGCAGGTGGCTTTTGGATGTCTCCTTTGAGGAATCCCTTGCTCAGAAGTCCCAAGAAGCTGCGACCCTGTGTGTGAGCTCAGTTTGTCAATGAGTGTCACTGGTGCATACACTGGGCCGATGTAGAAGGTAGAGCGCATGCCACACCGTTGAGTACTTGATGCGCCGGGGCAGGAGGATTTGGGAAACAACACTTGTCGGCACCTAGCGACCATTTCTAGACCCCAAGTAATGTGATACCCGCGCGGTTTTCCATGGTTGGGTGTGAGGACATTGCTGCGGGTCCTCTCTTTTAGGAAACTCCCACCATTTGAGCCAGGACCTACAATGCGGCCCTTAGTGCTTGCTCTGCAGCGGGAAAGTGTGAACTGGTAACTTGGCTTGCTTCATTTGGCGAACGGCACACCTTTTCGTTGACTGAGGGCCAGATTTTCCCTTCCTGTATCTTCAAACTCCGGGAATTTCTGGGTGTTTCAGGAGACCCCTACAATTTGCCGAATTCGAGTGGTTTAGCTACAATTGGGGCAAACACACATACGATTTGCATCGTTTCCAGTCGCGCATTGGCCATACAAGCGAACAAACCTCGCAGCATTTGCCAATTTTCCAACGTGCCAGTGAACACCATAAAATATATTGATCATTCAAAAATACGGTTTTTTCTGATTTGCGGGAGATTTGCGAGCGTTTTGCGGTCAAAATGGGGACGTTTGTTTCTGCACCGCACAACTTTGGACTGCCGTTGCATGGTTTGACAAACTTGCGGGCTGCATCAAGCTGTTTGCCGCTGCACGAGCTTTGCAATAGTGTGCTTTTTTAGGAGTTCACGAGTTTCAGGTTTTTGCGGCAAACAGTGCTACGATTTCCCGAATATCCTGTCAAAGGCGGAAACTACGATTTTTTTTAGGAGGACGAAGGTCCAGGTTTGTTCCTTTGAGTTTTCTGGATTTCCCGGCTGGATGGAGGCTTTCTTGACCTGGCGGAGGGGGTGTGTTCGTGTTTGAGGTCTTTTAGTGTTGGTTGCCTCACGTTTCGGCCGTTTGATTCCCAAAACGGGAGTCCCGATTCGATGGGTGTCGCCCTTCAAGCCGTTGGCTTTTGAAGTTCACGCCTTCCAAGCTGGCTTGCACTTGCAAGGTCTCAACCCTGTTTTCTGGGATTTCGAAAAGGTTGGCGCGCTCTGATCAGTAGAAGAGTTGTCCGAAGCCGATTCCCATGGTTAGCGGACGGATTTTTGAGAGAATGGCCAAGATCTTGGACCATGTCCCTGTCCGCTACTTCAATGAACATTTGCATCAACCACCATTACAACTGCATGAGAACCAGCAAAACAACCACAACCCTTTACTTATCGTGTGTTTCTTTCTTTCTTTCTTTCTTTCTTTCTTTCTTTCTTTCTTTCTTTCTTTCTGTTTTTCTTTTTTTCTTTCTTTCGCCCCTCCCCCCCCCCCCTTTTTGGGGTGGGGGGGTGGGGGTGGAGGTTGTGTTCCGGTTTACGGCTTTAAGGCCATGCTGCTCATGGAGGAGCTGCAGGCGAAGCGAGCCCTTTTTGTTTGCTGCTCCATGGCTGTGGGAGCCAGTTGGCTGAGATGAAACAAGAAGCCCACAACCATGATGTACATGCCCAGAGGAACGTCCTTGTGGGGGTCCCCTGTTCAGGTTCTATGTTTGCCATTTTTGCAATGGCAGAACTCTCGCAACAAATGGACAAACATCACCATCAAAACGGCAAATGATGTCCGAAAGAGGCTAAATGCAGCTCATGCCAATTGAAATCACCACGATGGACAAGGCCAGCAAGGGTGTGTGGGTTATGTGCATCGCCCCCAAGGGCCCAGTCCTTTCTACCTTGTGTGCTCCATTGTTGAGCCCCTTTGCCGGTGCAAGATTGACTTGCTCATGCGGCTTGTTCCCGGAGCAGGACTTCTCCCTCTTCCCCAACCTCATGACCTACAGATGCTCGTCTGCAAATGCCAGGCTTCACCCCAGCAGCAAGCTGGCAACCGCAGTCGGACGAAGGCAACGCATGCCTTTCCAAATATTGGTGGAGCTTGGTTCCGTTGTTGCTTTTGTTTGAGGTGAGATCGTTCTGGATTCTGTTGCGAACTTTTGAAGTTGAGTAGCTCCAGCTTAATAAACCTGCTGCATTAGTGGGGCGTGTTGCACCCACCAATGAAGCATTCCCGTAAAAACTTGACACCCCCAGTTTATCAGTCAGATTTCGATTCGTCAACTGGGTTTCCATTATTGCTTGTCAGACTTAACTCACTGTCAGTCTTGTGCCCTCGTGGTTTTCGCTACTTTCCTCTGGCCAAGCCTTTGGTATGCCCAGGATATGCCATCGCCTCCTGCGAAGCTGGCGGCGAGTGGGAGCTGGCGCTGGACTGGGGAAATCCACCTGGTTTTGGGTGGCGGGGGGGGGCTTTTTGAACTCTACCCTTTTTGAAGCACCGGGGCCTTGGGGGATGTGGATTTACCTGAAAATTATGAAGATTGTTGTTTCTTTCCGCTCTCAAAGTGCGGGACGCCAGTGGGAATTTATAGTGCCCCATTTTAGCAGGGGGGGGATTCATCCATCAGACTGTTCACCCAGGGTTTCGTTGAAGGGGATGGGCACTGGAAGCATCTGAGCGACACGGGGCTGGGGAACTGGGATGAGCATCAAAAAATAATTATTTTGGGGATCAACAAAAAATTATTTAGGGGATCAAAAACAAATTATTGAGACCTAGTCTCCGGTCCCCTGCTCTCCTGGTCTCCTGGTCTCCTGGTCCTTGGTCTCCTGGTCCCCAGTCCTGGTCCCTGGTCTTCTGGTGTCCTGGTCCCCGTGTCTCCTGGTCGCCTGGTCTCCTGATCTCCTGGTCTCCTCCTGCTCTCCTGGTCTCCTGGTCTCCTGGTCCTTGGTCTCCTGTGTCTTGTCTCCTGGTCCTTGGTCTCCTGGTCTCCTGGTCTCTTGGTCTCTTGGTCTCCTGGTCTGCTGGTCTCCTGGCCTGCTCTCCTACCCGAAACCGACCCTAAACCAAACTACACCCACCCTAAACCAACCCAAAACCAACCTACAAACCAACCTTGAAACCGACCCTGCGCAACTTTTAAACCAACCCTACACCCGCCCTAAACCAACCCTAAACCAATCCTAAACCCACCCTAAACCTACCCTAAACCTACCCTCAGCCAACCTAAAACAACCCGAAACCCAACCTAAACCTACCCTAAACCAACCAAAATCCACCCACCGCAAACAAACCCAAAACCCTCCCTAAACCCACCCTAAACCCACCCTAAACAGACCCTAAACTAAACCTAAACCCACCCTAAACCAATCCTAAACCAACCCCAAACCCACCCGAAACCCCAAACCCACCCGAAACCCAACCAAAATTAACCGTAAACCAACCTTGAAACCAACCCTACACAACCTTAAGCCAACCCTAAACCCAGCCTAAACCAACCCTGAACCAACCCTAAACCTGCCCTAACCCTACCCTACACTTACCCCAAACCACCGTAAACTTAGCCTAAACCATCCCTTAACCCAACCCTAAACCAACCCTAAGCCACGTACACCGGCACTAAACCCAGCCTAAGCCCACCCGAAAACTACACTAAACAGACCCAAAACCAACCTAAGCCAACCCTAAACCCGCCCTAAACCTGCCCGAAACCAACCCTAAATTATCCCTAAAAACCCTAAACAACTTTCAAGCCCCAAACCAAACCTAAACCCACCCTAAACCAAGCCTTAGCCCAGCCTGAACCATCCCTAAACCAACCCTAAAGCAACCCTAACCAAACCTCATCCAACCCTAAACCCACCTTAAACTACTGACCTTCAACCGACCCTAAGCCCTAAACCAACCCTAAACCCACCCTAAACCCGCAAACCAACCCTAAACCCACCCTAAACCTACCCGAAGCCAACCTAGAACCACCCTAAACCCAACCTAAACCAACCCTAAACCAACCCTAAACCAAGCTAAGCCAACCCCAAACCCACCTTGAAACCAACCCTACACAACCTTAAGCCAACCCTAAACCCAGCCTAAACCAACCCTAAACCAACCCTAAACCGTCCCTAAACCAGGCCTGAACCCACCCCAAACCCACCCGAAACCCAACCTACATTAACCCTACAGGCATTTAACCGATGCTAGATTCGTTGATAGAACTGCGCTTGTATCTGAAAAGTTGTGATTTTCGAACTGGAGCTGCCAAAGTGACCTTCGCGTACTGCGCTTGTATTGGAAAGTGTCTATTTTACAGCAGGAGCCGTAAAATGCGCGCGCTGTTGCCCGAAAATGATGTAAATTACAGCGCTTTGGCACCCCCAGGCGAGATAATTTGTTTTTGATCCTGTAAATAATTTGTTTTTGATCCGGGTGTCGATAATTTCTTTTTGATCCCGTAAATAATTATTTTTTGATCCTGCACCCTGGGGAACTTCCCAGTTGCACGGATCACATTCACGGCACAAAACCCCAGGTTGAGCAGGCCTTCTTTACACCCACCGGCTGCGAGATGCGCGGCCGGCCAGGACATCATGTCCGAGATGCCGGAGGCGAAGATCCAGCCGCGCGAGATGATTTATAGCAGGGCGTCCAAGTGCCCAAGTGCTTTGATATCCCTCGATGTGTAGCGATCATTTGCTTGGACCACAATACGTCCAACGAGCACAAAGGCCATGAACACCCCCATTCGTGACTTGCAAGTGGAGCATGTTACGCCGAACTGCAATGCGACATGGATAGCGGCTCGCCACGGACACTTTGGGCAAACCGAGGCGATTCAACACCCAAACTGCCCAGCCGCCAATCCCGCCAAAGAATGGCCTCCATTCAATTTGTTGCACCCGTTTCATCAGCCACGGAGTGAAGCCACATGTTGTTCCCTTGTCTTGGCTGGTCTTTGACGTTTCCATTAAACTACCATTTGCTCCTTTGGGGGTTTTGGAGCAACCCAGGCATTGCCGCCAGTTTTCTCCCAAGTGTCCTTATTTTATTTCGAGGGTTCCCTTAAATCCCCCTTAAATTCCCCCCTAGGGTTCCTCACTCCCTGAGTTCCTGCAGGCTTTCTGGGAAGACTATTTTTGAGTGGTAAATGAAGAAGAGCTTGACTTCTTTCTCAATCCACTCAGAAGGTAAGGTTCCCTTTCGACCCCTTTCTTTGGTGTTCAGCCAAGCTAGTACGTTAGTAACCTAGGTGACGACCCACTTATAAGCCCCCCCGGTTGGGGAAGTTAACCCTGTCATTGCCCAGGGTAACCACTTACTAACTTGCCCGAGTATCCAAGTAGCGAGTGCCTTTTCCATTATACCCTGAGAAAGGTGTGCAACACAGTTTTCCGGTCGTTTTCAGCATGTATTTGTGTGTGTCAAAATTGGGGGACACTCCAAAGGGGTACCTTCAAAAAGACACGCCCATGTGTTTGCCCAGTGGGTAGTTGAAGGTTAGTAAGGGACAGTCCCAACCAGAAATGGGTGTAGCCACCTTGGTAATTTTTACATGGCTTTGGTTTCACGATCTCGCTTCCAGGTTTTGATTCTGACTCACCCAGTGCTTCAATTTCTAATATGGCCGTGGGTCAGCACCAATGGTACCAGTTTCGGGTAGGTGCACTCGTCAATTTTAGTGGGGATTGGGATGTTCACTGGGGGTACCGGGTTTTGACCCATATAGGCAACCAGCCAAAAAAATCCATGGAGAACCTGGTGGCCATGGATACCTACGGTCACTGGGTCAGCTCTGAGGCTCGGTGGCAGCGGCCTGCCGCGCAGGCGGCCACCCGGAGCTGGCAGACCAACTCCTGGCAGAGCTGAGGCCGGAGATCGCCGGGCGAAGATCGGGTGGCGTCGTCGTTTGGCGTCGGGCCCTTTGCCTGGGTGGACCAGTAAGGTCCACCAAAGCACACCATGGTGGGTTTGGACCAGATGATGTTTGAAGCGGTTTCGAGAAGGAAAAACGGAAACCACCAATTTTTAGGCTCCGATACCTATTTTGAGATAGAGCCAGGCCACACTTGTGCAGAAACTTAGGAACCGGAAACGGTTCCTAGCCATTTTTGCGTGGAAAGCAGCGAGAAAGAATCGGCCAAGCATTTGCCCAAGCTCGACACTACTCATACCCTTCGATTTGTCGACTTTAGAGTTTGGATGAGTTTATGACACATCTCTCATATTCAGTTTTTTTTTAGAAAGAGGTCATCGAAGCCCCCTGGGGAATGGTCCCAACCACATAAACCTCCTGCTGGGCGGGCCCGTTCAGACATCCCTTTGGCTGTTTGAGCATTTTCCCTCGAAGCGTGGGGTTGAGTGGTCTCAGGTGGGGAAGTACTTCTCATTCCGGCGATGCCCGTCTTGGGCCTACCTTAGTGCATGAGCAGCCCCTTTGCACCATGGGCCTTTCTCCTTGCCAATGGTATTCAACATAGTTGAAATTAAGCCTTGCATCGTATGTTGGACAACTCTGACCAGCTGGTGTCATTGCATCCCTATTCCTGGCATCTCAGTCACAAGTTCACATTTCGGCTAAACCTACCACAATTCAATTGCAAGAAGTTACTTGCACGCCAGTGATCGTAGCATTTGCATTCCTAGCGGCCCGCCGCTGGAATTCAAGGAGGTGGGAGTCCTTTGGATTTTCTGGGTGTGTTTTCGATCCTGGGGAGCCCTCATTTGTTCGGGATTTTTTTAACGCCCTCATTTTTTTCAGGATTTTTAGGGTGGTGAGTTGCCATCATGTACCCAGAATGTTTTTTTCATGCAAATGAGGCGAGTCGCTCAGGGTACCATGGCCAGGGTCCCCTTAGCGGACACTTTCGGACCCTAGAGTTTGGATCCGATTTCCCGGTTGCAACCCCAACCTATCCCCAACCTGGATCCGTTGCCACACTTCGCTTTTCGGTATTGGGGGCCTTCTAGGCTTGACTTGCTTCCCACTAACATGGACCCCCCCCCCCAAAAGGTGCGTTGTCGAGGAAAGAATCGTCAAGGAACTCTGGTCAGTAGGTTGTCACGCGAGCTTCCTGGCAGCTTGCACCCCTGCTCCCAGCCGAGGTCAACAACCCCAGAGCGGATATAGCGCGACGCTTGTGGCGGCAAAATGATCCGGAATGCGGGGCCTATAAGTTTCGTGATTTGCGATTCTATACTCAGGCTGATGTTTCAATCGAAAGATAAGGGAACGCCGGTTTCCTCGCAGAGCCAGCTCCAGGAGAGCTGTAGGAAAGTTATAGCCCATGTTTCGTGTGGCCGGGTCACTATCAGATTGCAGCGCTCGCTTGGAACAATCACAGGCTTGCATATTGTTCCCTAGCCCCAGCCAGGCTTCAGCCAAATTGTTGTGTTGGCTGGCGTTTTTGGCCCAATCGGCACACAACTCCTTTTGCAACCGGGAGATCAAATTCGTTCCCGCAACTTTCGGAGTTATCGGTTGTCGTTCTGGGGTTCGGGGGTCCTCGGGGTCCCCCCCGCAATAGAACTGTTGTTGGCCTGCAGTTTGCCAAGATACCACTAGACTATGCACCAATGGGCCAGATCCATATCAGTTGGTAGGTAGTTTATCCATCATAGGGGTTCATCCATACCAACTGCAGGAGTTTGTTCGGTAGCTGAACCTGCGCCGGGCCGAGCCTTTGAGCCCATCCGGGCCTGGGGGGGCCCGCACGCGACTCATGCGCCGGCCTGGCCCTGAAAGTAAGTGGAAGAAAACCACCCGTGCACTTTTGGCTGAGGCCTCTTAGAATGAACATTTTCCAGGGGTCCTCCAACTTGCTTTGAGCCCAGTGGGATCTTCACAGCCAAAAGAACTCAGTTTTGGGGATGTCACTTTAGTGATTTTTTTGAAAGGGGCCCTGGTTTAGATGCCCAACTGTTGGTGGCGGCTCCCGTCACACACACACGAATTAATGCTTTCCTTTGGCAAGTCAAGGGAACAGCAAGCCGTGTGGGCTGATGTGGCGCCTGAGAGATTTGTTCAAGTCTGATATAGCTTCCGGTGTTATCTTGGATGTGTATCTTGCGAGCCTTGGGAGTGCCCCACCTGTAGATCCAACTGAATCACAATTCACCCAGTACGAAAGAGGGCACAACAATATATCTTGAAACGCCCCAAGAGTCCACTTTCACGGCTTTTAGAAGTAGTAGCGCTTTCCATTTGCTTCCACAAGGGGTCAGCCTCAACATTCGATCCTCGTACCACCTCAGTGGTGCAAAGCCGATCTTTTCATCTTTTAGTTCCCCTTTTTTGGTCCATTTGTAGTCATGGCCCCAAAAGGTTAGCCGAGAGCCGGTTATTTCTGTGCCCAAGCTGGGCAACTGGGACCCCCGGTCAGACGTGGCCCCAGGTCGCCCGTTTGGAACCCCCAGGTTCTCAGCGGATGGGCCGCTGCGCCTGGCCGCCTTGAGCAGTCCGCAGACCGTGCTCCTGTGCTGCGGCCCCAACTCCTGAAGCGCAGCCGGGGGGGGGGGGCATAACCTTCGTTGGTGAGCTTGTTCGATGGCCAGGCTCTCGACATTTTCCTTTGACAGCCAGGATCAGGTTCGAGATCTGTTTGCGGCCTGAGGCTTCGATGTGGACGCGGAGCTCCTGTCTGGCCTTGTGGGTTTCGCTCTTTGCCCGTGCCTGAGCTTGGGTTTACCTTACCCAAGGTAGGCTTCAACTCAGGGGCTTGCCTTTTGGAGGAATCACTCACTTGTTTTCTTGGTCCAGCCTTAGGTGTTGTTTGATTGTTGGGCGCGGGTTCGGCCCTCTGGTTCTTGTAGAGGGTAAATGGGAAACCACCCCACCTCCAAGCCACCAGGCAAAACCACAAATGAGGGGGAAGCTGATCAGGAAAGCCAAAGTGGAGCCCTGTCCTGCACACAGGCGCCCGCATAACCAGAACCTGGTTGCAATCCTCCGCGGGGCCCCTTCAGAGATCTAAATGGGGCTCCTGCCTCGCTAGGGCCCCAACTGACCTTCTTGTTTGATCAAGCAGGGTTCTGGGAATGAGGGCGTGCTTCCCACTTCTATCATTCCAGGGAACCTCCCCTCAAAATGCGCACTCTGTCTTTGGAAAGGCAGTTTCCGCAGCCCTGCGAGCAATTGAAAAAGGAAAGCCAGTAAACCATTTGAGCAGTCTGTCCCAGCTAGATCTGGGAGTTAGGTATTTTGGCGTTTGCCTAAAGAGCCTGATGCAACGACTAACTCTCTATTTTGGAAGCTTCCTCGTTGTTGGGAACAACTGTGGGTTTTGAAAAGAAGCCAGCAGGAAGCCAATCATTTCAATAGGCGTTTGGAGACCCCTCATGTTGAGCCAAGCTCACTTCCACCCTTGGATCAAAGGTCCGGCTCGTTGCCTTCAGGCCGTACCACCCTGAAGGCCCGTCTTACGCTTCCATGGCCTGGGGAGTGGGTGGCAATGTTTCGCGGGCCTTGTGCCGCAACTCAGAAGGCTAAAAGGCTGGGGCGAGCCAGGAAGGGCCCCTTGCAAAAAAGAGAAAAGTGGATAGGAGGGCACCAGGCGAATGCTGATGCAGGGCTGCCAGCAAACCCAAGTGGCCGAGTTATTCGGCGGTAGGCACAGCAAACGCTGGTTCTGAGAAATTTCTCTGGTTTTTGCCAGGAGGGGAAGAACACCGGAGAGGCCCGGTCTTCTTGTTTCGCTGGGTTGTGTCGGCGTATTGGTTGGTGTTTTCTTCCAAAAGAGAACAACAGTGTTTTGTTACGTAGTTGTTTTTTAGGTTTCCCCTGTTTTTTTTGTTTCTTCTTTTTCTTCTCCTTCTCCCGTTGGAGGTTGAATCGCAAGCCGTTTTAATTCTTCATGGGTCATGGGGGTCCCAACTTGGGCCAGAGTTTTTCTGACAGTAAGTCGTGCCTCCGGTGCAGGGCTGCATGGCAGGAGTGTGGGGTGTCCTTGGGTCGTCTCTTGGTTTCTTTTCAGATCCGTTGACCGTCTGGCACCTTGTCAGCGGAATCAGACTGCACGAAGTTTGCTGCAGTCATCTGTGCTGCGGGAAGACAACATGGGACCCACAACCAGTCCCTTCAGAGGAATCTGCTTCGGGCGGACGCAACGGCGGGTTCCACACTGCTCGGGGGTATGTGAAAAAGTATCGGGGAAGCCCCCTACGTGCCCCCAATTGAGCTTTTTCCAACCCCATGAGACATGAAAAAGGGCCAAGACCAAACCCTTCCAATGATGCTTAGAGCAGTTGGACTTGGGAGACTTGGCCTGGGTTAAGGTGTTCGATCTCGCCCACCGCAGGTTTGGATCGGCGACCCGCGGCGTGGCAGCTGGCGAGGAGGGGAGGGCGGAGCACTTGTTTGGGCCTGTGAATGGTGATTTAGCCCAGCTTTCAAGGGGCATCCTCCCCAACTGGTGCAAGAAATTTCAGAGATTTGTACACCCGTAGCGCGTAGTATGCTCTAAAGGTTCGTAGCCGTTCTTTTCACCGCTTGTCAGGTTGTGTGTGTGTGTGTGCGTGTTCGCAAAAAGAACCAGCAAGTGCGGCATAGTCGGCGTGTGAGGAATGCCCCACCACCTCCAAAACGCAAGCGGCCCGGATTGATTCACCTGGTCCATTGGTGTTTGTACATGTTTAGGATTTGTGTATTTTGGATGTGGGCTCCATGACATCTACCCCCTCCAGCCTGACATCCAATCTATGGGTTCGCAGCCGGGCAGGAGATGGAGCCAAGACGGCCGAGGCAGATCGCCCAGCAGAGGAAGGCGCAGGACCGCAAAGCGGGTCCGACTCCAAAGGGGGCGAAAGCAGCTCCAACGGCCAAGTGGATGTGAGGGACGGTATTGCCCTATCCAAAGATGGGAATTTTACGCTAACTCATTTTGGTTGTTCATAATATGGTGTTGGTTTCATTTTCTAGCAGTCACCCCTTTGTGCCTTGGATTATGTTTGAGTCCTTCACAGCTGAGCCCCGCAGGAGATGCCAGCCCGGAGGTGCGCGCCCAAATGCGAGCCGACTGTTTCACAGGGGAAGGCCGTTAAAGTCCATCTTTCGAGCGGTTCTATATGTCGGTTTTTGGGGTTGTTTTCCATTAAAGCCTGCAGTCTAGGGCTGGGGGGGGGGGCTGCGTTTTGGCTTGATGCGGCGCCACTTTTGGGTGACTTTAACTTGGGTGTCCTCCAACAGTTTATACTTTAGGGTAGGCTAAATGAAGCAGACTCAGGAAGTCTTCTTTTCAGATGCAATTCAATTTTACTAAAAAATGTAGGTTCCAACTGCCACGTTTTGTTTGGTGCAGGCAATTGGGTTGGAACCCCTTAAACGGGTCCCTGCTTTGGTCCGGTTGCAGCCGCCTCGTTCTGAGGCCGATGAGGAGGCCGGCCTTGGGTGTTTCGGCATGTCGCAAAGAAGGGCTCGGGGCGTTCTACGGATGTAAGCTCATATTGTTCGTACCGTTGGCTCCTCACTTAATAGTGGATATGCTGGAGGGGCTTTTGAGCAATAGCCAGCCTTGGGGTCATTTGCCCAAGGGGTACGCAGTGCCAAGACCCAGCATGATATCAGAAGCAGGGCATGGGCATGCGTGGGCATGTTGTGCATCTCAAAGGTTTGGCTGAATCGGGTTACTTCTCCAAACGGATGAGCAGGAACCACCTCTGGCGTGGCGCAAAGTGGATCCCCTTTGGTGGCCGTTGGGCCACGCGCGCCAGACGCAAGCTAGGCACCGGCAACGGAACTTCGCAAAACATTGAAGGGAAAGCAAAAGAAGCAAACACTAGTTTTGCCCCCGTAATTTGACACACCTCTTGAACAAGGACACGTTGCGCTTCCAGCACTGAAGCATGCTCTCGCCCGCAGCAGCACCCCGATAGAGCTTCAATGGTCCCGGGGTTATTGAATTGTGTTGGCACGGTGGCACGCAGATCCGCATGCTGCTATTGCTGGGTCAAGCTGTGTCAGGTTGTCGCGGGTGTGGTTCCTTTGAGGGTGCCTCTTTTGGGTGGTTTTCAAGGGAAGCCAAAAGGAAAACCGAAGCCCTTTTGGCGGTCCCCCAAAAAAGGCGAGCCACCTATATATGTGATTGAGTGTAGGGTAGACCCCAGTCTGGGCCAAGCTGCTAGCCTCAGGGTGGGGCGACCCAGCACCCCTGAGTGCAATGGTCAAACCGAGGTGAAACAGTTTACAGACGATGGATATCACACGATATCGCCATGCAGTTCTTCCAGAGTTGGCTCTAGCCATGGGCCATGGCAAGCGAGCGGGGCGAGCTCGAGCTCGATCTGCATTTCCAGGAACGTTGCTCCGAACCTCAGCCCGCGTAGAAAATTCAGATGACAAGTCTCTGGTCAAAGAGGTTCGATTTGATTCGCACAGAAAACACACTGGTCCATGCAACCTCTCACATTTTTTGCCACCATTTGGGCCTATGTCCCTGTCAACTTTCTACGGCAGGGTCGGGTGGTAGCACCCTGCCCCTGAAGGAGGCGTTGCAATATCTCCGAGTGGTTCGCGGCACAGAGGCGGGTTCCGGGTCAGAGAAAGGGCAATGAAAGGGTGGACACAGACAGAATCAACCTGCGCGTTGTGCGCGTGGTCGTCCCACCCCTCCAAAGAAAAACAGCTTAACTTACAAGCGTTTGGGGCTGTTCTGTTGCAGTGACCTCCTTTCTTGCTGCAAGTCAAGTGATTTCTGTTGGTGTTCTACCGTCGGGATCTAGCAGCACCATATTTTTGTCTGTCAGCTTGGAGTAAAGGCGGTTTGCAGCTCTGCCAAAGGTGTGAGCAGTGAGCGCCAGACTCCTAGGGAAGCCTGCTCTGTACGAGCGCTTGAATGTCCCAGAAGGTCACTCATGTATGTCCGGGTTCTCGGCTATGAGAGTTGGAGGGTGAACACATGTAGGTGTGTCCACAGATTCAAACGTCTCGACATACAAGATGACAACCATCAGCATCAGTAGTATCTTATATGGGACCTGTCCACGTGGTTGCTTTCATCTTGGCTTACCTTTCGCGTCAGCTCGGGCGTCCCAAAGTTTTGAGACGGACCCATTGACCATCAGTTCCTTTGGCTCGGATCTGAGCGGCCTTTGCGGCTCTCAGGTGAGTGCATACTCAGAGCCAGCAGTGCAGAAGTTCCTGCAGCAGACCAAGCCAGAGCTGGAGGCGGGGGTTCTTGACGCTGAAGCGCGGGCAAGTGAGCTTTCAGTATGAGCAGAAGAACGCTCCCAACTTTGTAGGAGACAGCTGGGGGACTTACCAAGATGGATGCACACGCGCTGACCATCCAATACTGAGGATGTATTTTGGGTGTTGCTTTCAGCAAGTAGCCAAACCGCGGCAAACTGTTGTCAATGACTCTCTTTCATCAAAGTCGTCCAACAAGGCATCCTAACTGTAAGCCGGAGGTGTTTTGTTCTTGGTGCTTCACAAGGAAGCCAGCTGCAAGCCAGTTGGCATTTCCACGCCGAGACGCACGCGGATGTTGCTGGCAAGGGATGGCCAGGCTTTTAAGACAAGATGGTCGCTTAGTTTCCGCCCCGCCAGGGAGGAATGAGCCGATATGGTGGTTAAGAGCACGAACATGTTTGGGGCTGAACAATGAGCAATATGGAGCTTACCATGTCAATTTGGCGCACGCTGCCCGTTGTGAATTTCATTGTGACGTTCCACTGTCATTTGGGTAAGAGTCCCACTTGGTATCACAGAAGGGTCCCATGTCCCCACAGCCATGGCTTAGTACTTAGAACCCATTTTTCCAGGCATTGTTGGGAAAGGAAAAAGGTACAGAGCATGTCTGACTTTTTTGAACCAAGCAAGTCAGCATGAAAAACTGCACCACAACCATAGAGAGTGCGTCCACATATCCAGTTGTCGATGGCCTTATGACGCACAAATCTTTCAACAAGCAGCAGGGCGGCTCGCAAATCTTCCCAAAAACATGTGCCATGGCCAAGGCTGCATCTCGTGTCATGGTCACTGTCCCTGAGTAGGAACCCTTTCATTGATGGTCTCAATTGCTGTCTTCTGACTTCTGACCATGGCGCAAAGGACAGCGACCATTACCACCAGAAGGCGCAAGACCTGCCGCCCGGCGCGGACTTCTTCTTCATCTCCTATGTGTGGGAACCACCTGGTGAGGACCCGCGCCGAGGCAGGGTCCCAAGGTAATCGACCAAGGGGGGGGGGAGGGAGTCAAACGAAGGCAATCTACCACCAACGCCGGAACCCACGGGAATTTGTGGTTCTCGTGTTCCTCGGTTTACCTCAGATGTTTGGCGATGACTCGCAAATCGTTCGCTTCCTTTTGGTTTTCGTTCAAGCAGGCTCAACAAGGGCTCCCCCAAAGACTTTCATTCAGCTCAGTTGCCAAGTTTGCCGGCGAACAGATGTTGAAGGAGCGCGCAAGTAAGCCCCATTCCAGCCAGAAGCCGTGGTCATTAGCATGATGTCCCAAGTTCCCAGCAAATCAAGCATAGCTGGTTCACGGGTTCTAGTCAGGCCTCGTTTAAGCCTTTTAAACCCCTGTGGAGAACGAATTATCGAAGGTGTCAGGGTGCTGCCCGATTGTAGAGCGCTAAACAGTCAACAAAGGTTGCTGCTGTTCAATCTCATTTGTTGGAGAACTGCTCCAGCTCGCTGGTCTACTTACCCCGACGCGGCACAAGATCCCGCGGAGTAGTTTCGCAAAGGGCCCAACTTTGATACCCGGTTTCTCACGCAAGCAGTATGTGAATTGGAAGCAACTGCCACTTTGTCAGTGCGAAGGCAATCCTTCCAGTTCAAAGCAGGTGTTGGATTCGGAGTGGATTTTGAACCTCCGCTTGTGCCAGGGGCAGAGCTAAATGAGGTCGACGCCGATGCGCGGAGTTGGTACGCACAAGCGCAGGCCAAATCTGTGCCGCGTGGCGGCGAGTAGTGGGGGGGGTTGCTAGCCTGGACGCCAAGACATCCCCAGCCCCTACCCAACATGGATTGAATTGAGGAGGTCTAGTTTTTTGGCTGACCACTTTCATTTTCCCCTTTGCTGGGAAGCGTGGTAGATGGCAGGATGGGTGGTTTCCTTTTGGTTTCCCTCACCCAGAAAAGTGTCTTTGTTTGAGGGAGCCCCAAATTCTGGTTTTCCTTTTCATTGTCAATTTGCCACCAAAAAAGGTGCTGCCCAAAACCGGATGTGTCCCCTCTCATTGGAAAGACGCAACTGGACCCCACGAGGTACTTGGAGTTCCGGGGCCAGCGAGGCCTCCACCCCAAGGAGGCCTTCCTTTGGATCGAGCGGGCGTCGCTGCCTCAGAAGGGCCACATCTTCGAGCGCGCCAGGCGCCGCGCCTTTTTTCTGCCCGGAAACCCAGGAGGGAAACAACAAGGTGGCAGTGCGGTTGGGACTTTTTGGGGTTGCCTCTCTGTTTTTAAAGGAGCTATGATGTTTTTCAGGGCAACGGTCTTTTTTGGATTGGTTGGGGGATTTTCATACATGGCACGCGGCAATCGAATGGTACCCAAAAAAAAGAGATTGGAATGTGTCAAATAGAGGCACCACCCGTACGTGGCGGTTGTCCATTTGGCTTCCACTTGGACCAGCCTTAGAATGGGCGGCCTGTACAGTTTTGAGGGAGCTAGGAGCCAAGGGGCCGATGGTTAAAACCCTACATATGGCAAGGAAAACTCTTATTTTACCGTACTGTAACTTATCATGGTTTTGTGGTTAAGTGTGGTTGCTATACTTGCAACCAGTGGAGCCCTAGATTCCACCAAGCCTCCTTGGTATCCCCAGTGGCGGCCATTTTCGCTTTTGGCTGGATTGGCTTCACCGCTGACAACTGAGCCCAGAACAGATTGCATGTTTCCAAAGTTTTTTCGGCAGCCCCCTCTTTTGAGGGTTGGGTAGCTTTCCCGGAAATCATGTCAACCGCTTCCAAAAAGCGATTCAGGGGTTGGTGGGCGCCTGATGTGCTCAGGGGAGTGGGGATGTCCCTATACTTCTTATATTGTATTTTTGTTTTTTGCCCCCATCCTCTTGCGCATTAACTAGGGGGGGCTTGAAGCACATGTGTAATCGCGAAGGTTTTGTGTTCTTTTCCGGCAGTTCGGGGGGTCTCAATGTTTGCCCTGCTTGATTGGTGGTTTAAGCGTTACCTTTTGTGCGTCTAGAGAAAGCAGGTCTCCTTTTGGTGGGGTGATGTTTAAGCACCCTTTTGTCGGCCTGTCCGTGTGGTGAAGGCAGTTTCCCAGGTATGAACGGGCGCCGAGTTCTGAAATGGTCGGCCGACCCAGCGGCATGCGACAAAGGTGGTGGTTCCTGATGACGTTCCATTTTCTGCGTTGTGTAGATGGGAAACATGACATTGGGGACCCGCCCCTGCGGTGGCGGGGGAATGT